TTAATTTATGTATACATAAAGTTTTAGGCTTCCTTTGTTTGGATATAAAATATTTTTCAGAAAATATTTTTTTATTTTTTTTGAAATTTGGTTATCGTAAAATATTTAAGAAGAAAAAAAATATTAAAATTTAACAAAACTAACTTATTTATCAATTTTCAAAAAGTTATTTTACATGTCTCGTTTGATGGATTCGATTTCAACGACTCAATCTCGACATAAAACTTTGTCAAATATTAAAACAATAAAAATAAAAAAATATTTTACGTCGAAATAAATTGAGTTATTATGTAACTTGTGTGATGCACAGGCACCGAGTTATTATGTAACTTGTGTGATGCACAAGCACCGTGGTGCTTGGACTTGGTCTCTAGGTATGCTAAAACCATATTTACTAATAGCAGGTTTCAGCATGTAGGTGAATTCACAATGCTCGAACTTGCTGAGACAGTAAAAGAGGTCCGGTTTGAAGTTGCTCGTGTTTCCATTTAACTTAAATAAATAAAAATTAACAAAAAACCAAAGGAAATGATTTTGCTTGTCAATTTGGTACGTGGGATTTGTTAAATATCTTTACGATTTATGTCTTGTATATGTGAACATTAGCATTTAGCCACTTACACAGAAAAGGGGAACCAAACATGACATTACTCTGGGCAAGAAGGTGGTATAAATGAAGATAAATATCAAGAAAACATGTGTAGAGAAGATTATCGGCAAAAGAAACAGCTGTATAACATATCTATATTGATGAAACTCTCCTGGGTAATTAAAATCTTGTACTTAAGGTTGGTTGTTACAGAAATTTATATATATATATATATATACACACACACACAAAATTAAAAGCGTATAAAATAGAAAAGGTACCTGAGTTGCTTTTCACGCTTCTATCTTCAACAAAGTTTTTCAGCTTCAACAATCTACCTTCAATGAAGTTTATAGCGTTGGCAAAAAAATCAATATAGTTGTTTAACGCGGTAGGGTTTTAACAAATTTTTAGAAAAGATAAAAATAAAAATTATTACAAATTTTGGTAGTTATCCTTTGTTTTCTCAACACTCTTTTCCCAAATCTGGGCGGATGGAAAAATACATATCAGAGGTAGATAAAACATCCTTCATTGATCCATTCCCTTCCCCAATCCATCCCTCTTACTAAACATAAAATAAATTTCGTTTTAATACTCCGAATAATTGGGATATATTTTTCAATCTCTACCACACAAAAGTCAATAAAAAAACATGGTTGACCATTTCGTGTCTAAATGGTTGAAGTTTGTGTTAATTGTGTTTGATTTGTTTTTGGCAATTGACCAGAAAACCCAACTTGCTTGACAAGCTCTTTGGAGTGTGACTCTTTCGACTTGCTTGACAAGCTACATCTGTAGAAACGAAGGTCAATGGGTCTTTGTAACATGTTACTCTCTCTCTCTCTCTCTCTCTCTATAGCTTCTGAGCTGCTTCATTTAGTGTTGGTGTGGTCCACTAACACTTTTTATTCATTATAAAACTTTTGATATAGTTAGTGGGCCCTACATTGTCACCACAACGAATAATGTGATTGTTATGTCGGATCATACATTTGTTGGGAAGATGAATTTGGACCGGGCGGCTCCACATAGTTGGAGGCCTAATAGGCGACTGCAACGTGTAACGGACGCATATGATAATTTACATGTGCGTAGTATACAGATTGGCTTGATATGCTGGTTGAATAATGTAACGGGTTGAAATAAAATTTTCTCCTGTAACTTGGTTGTGCGGACCGATCATTTTTGCATGTGTATTATATGAACGGTTCAGATTAGGGGCAGAGGGAAGGGGGGCTGACAGGGGCCATGGTCCTCCCTAATTTTTGGAATTTTTTTTTTTAGTATAGATAAAAAAAAAATAGTATAGAATATATCATACATATTCTTTCCATCACTTTTTTTTTTTTTTTTTAATTTTTTTTTATTGGAATGCTTTTATAAGAATTTTATAAGAAATTAATTTTTACAAAATCTAGAACAAAAATTTCATTTGAAGTTTTGAATATCAACAAAAATCGATGATTTAATAATTTAAATTCTTATTTTATTAATTTGTTTGTGTGTGTGTTTTTTTTTTTTTTTTTTTTTTTTTTTTTTTTTTTTTATCATTGTTATTGTTTTGCTAATTGTTTTATTTTTGTTATTTAATTGATTTTTTTTTTATAATTTTGGCATAAATCTTATTTGTGTTTGTTAAAAAGTTTGATAAAAAATTTCTTTAAATAACTAGTATTTTTTTTTTTTAAAGTTTAGATGGATATATTTTTATATGAATATAATAAATAGTAAAATATTTTTGCCTACGTAATATATATATATATTTTTTCAAAAATCTAGCTAAGTAATGTTATTTATAATTTTGGCCCCCCCCCCATCTCAAGATCTTGGCTCTGCCCCTGATTCAGATACGCTCGTTGTATGATGTAATTGGCTCAATCAAGTTTTTCTTTTCTAACCCCACACAAAAGATAAAATAAAATAAATAATAATAATTAAGATACCTTGAGAGTTGTCAATATGGGTGGTAACTTCTTGAAATTTGACTTTCGAATCATACTTATGACTTAAATGGTGCGTGTGCTTTAGGGATACACGTACTATATATATATAAAAGTTTCATAATCGCACTTATGTTTATAGTAATTCCAATTATCTTTCCTTTCAGGAGAGGTAAGTAGAATTTGCTCAAAAAATTATTACATGGTGTTGAAATCAATGATTGACGGACACACAAACAAATATGTTAATTTTATTTAATTTATGTGTTAAATAAAGCATACAATAATTTCTCATGACGTTTGTACTTTTTTTTTTTCTTTTTTTTTTTTTGGGTAAGTAAGTGAATATAATCTTGTAACATTGCCAACCTCTATCACCAAGCTAGCATATTGTACCGTAAACTTATAGTACAAAAAGTTCATACTCAAGTTACTTACATATTGAACCGTAAACTTATCGTATATTATCCTATTGCACAAAGTCACATTTAATCACTCCCTCCAAATATAGATTCACAATTCTAGTCTATTCTACATAAAAAATAAAAAATAAAATAAAATAAAATAAAACCAGAGAAATAGTAGAGACCTCTCTTTCTATTATTAAGTTTTATCATTGATGTAATTTAATATATTATTATTTTAATTCGTATAAAAATTTAAGAGATAATACATTTGATAAAAATATATATATACATGCAATACAATAAAACTCACATTAAAAATTAAAAGTTACTCGTAAAAGAAAAATAAAATAAAAAGTAACAAGAACCTTTTCTTCAAACTCGACCTTAGATGATCGCTTAAGTCGTCTAAAAATTAAACCGTTATCGATTTAGATCTCCTTTGTGTATTGAAGGGTTAATAGTATATAAACTTGAAGGTTTCTGTAATTGAAATTCAATATATAAAGATATTGGGAGTCTTTTGTTATCATCACAGGTGCATGCATGGAAGTTTCAATGACTTTGAATTTTCAAATATTAGAAGTAAAATAACAAATTTTGTCAATTCAAATATTCACCAGCTCATACTCGTCCACAAAGTCCACGTACTCACATACATCACCTAACTAACAATCATTCTAATAACGACAAATATACACACACACATATAAAATATACATACATATATATATATATATATATATATATGGTTATTGGTGTTAACTAAAAGCTTGCACGCTAAGCTACGTTACTAGTTACTTGGGGGTGGGAGAGCTTCCAAATGATGAAAGCAATGGCGATTGCAATTAGGTCAAGTCAATGTTCACTTGGATGAGAAATTGAAGACTACTAGAATTTGACTTTATCAGAGACTTATTAATAATTTATGAGAAAACTAACTTTAATGTTGTAATATTTTACTGTATCTCAAACGCAATGGTACAGTTATATATATATATATATATATATTAAGTTTTTAACAATGGTAATATATATAATTTTCTTGGGGAACACCCATGGAAATTAGGGCTGCTGACTCATTCTTTACCTAACCATACAAGTCTTGACCTACAAGTACGTAAATGGCATAGCATCTGTAATTCACCATCATCATTATTATTATTATTATTATTATTTTAAATTTGTGTTAAAGGAAAAAAATTATTAAAAAAAAGTAAGAGATACTTGATTTTCTCACGTCAAAACATGCGAGTCTTTTATCTTAAATTCTAATAACATCTCCAAAAGAATGTTAAAATATGTTTTTTATTTTTTGTTAAGATACACGATCACGTCACTAATGTATAAAATTATTGTATATTTTACACAGCCATATTAACATATTTCTTTTTCTCTTATTAATTTCTCATTCTATTAACTAATTAATTAAGTTTGTAAAAATTATGTGTGGTCTAGACATTTTACGCAAAATGTATAAAGTAACCATTCGAGCTAAAAATAAATAATACAAAATTTTTGTATAAATTTATTATGACACGTTATATTTACAAAAAAAAAAAATATACACAACAGTTGGAGATACTCTTATATTACTAACTTAGTTGCTTGAAATTTGTGCTTTAAAATTGTAACCAAAGAAATTAAATTTTAATAAATAATTTCATTTTAATCGTAATTTCAAAATATCAATTTCATACCATCAGATACAACATTATTGAAAAAAAATTTAACAAAGGAATTTGACCCTTTGACATAGCATCTCACTTGTATGTTTTGCCAGTTAGATTTGTGCTTCATCTAGGTAACTATGCTAGATTAAAAAAATAATAATAATAAATAAATAAAAAGAAAAAATTTCAAGATGTCATTTATTATTATTATTATTATAAATAAATAAAATTTTTACTGTCATCCCTTCCAAATTTACCTCTTCTCAAAGTCCATTCCACGTGCTTGAAGTCTCTGTCTGTAACTCACTCTCTTTCTCTCTCTAGACCACTCTCTGTCTTCCCCTTCTCCTTCCTATATAAAGCAAACCAAACGATGTCTTGTTGCCGTAAACTTGTCATAGCCTCAGCAAAGCGAAGCAAATCAAATTCTCTCTTCTCCATTCAATTCGGATTTTCAATCAATTTACACCCACCAATCTCTCTCTCTCTCTCTCCACACGGACTCACATTAAGGTAAAGTCTCTCCCCTTTCCAATTTTTTTCTGGGTTTTCTCCTGTTCATGTTATCTGATTTCTGCGCTATGGTAATTCTTTTTTTTTTTTCTTGACATTAATGTTTTCAATATCATCTTGTTGAAAATGGGTCTCTGGTGTTGTTTTAGAATCATTTTTGTTATTAATTTTAAATTTTGCAAATGGTTTTGTATATTTATGCTCTTTCCTTGACGGGTTTGTCTGCTGCATTTGATGTGAATCGTGTGGTTTGAAAGATTTTGCTCTTCACGTATTCGACGAATTGCTTCACTTGTTTATTTGATACATCTATCATATAAAAAAAAAATTAATAATTTGATGGAATTAAATCAACGGTTCTTCTAGCATTCTTATATTAATCTAATTTTTGGATTTTTTGTTTTGATTGTGTTATTATTATTAGTATTATTCTTTTAAAAATAATAATAATAAATTGGGATTTTTACATATGCAGATATTTTAAACATTTGATACAATCTCTGGTTGATAGACTCTGTTTTTCATTATAGACAGTATGTTGTTGCTTCACTTAGTTGATTTTCATGTACTCCATATTGATAACGGTATTCAGATTATATGAATTTTCTAGGATTCCTTTGAATAGATTTTGAATTTTTGATCACATTAAATTTATTTTCTTTTATATTATTTTGTTTTGTCTCTGTGTTTTTTTTTCTTTTTTTTCCTCTTTTTTGGTCGGTCCTTTTTGACCAGGTATTTTAGATTTTTGCTTCTTTTTATTGGATTATTTGCAGCATTTGATTTATAAATTATGAAAAATTCAACAACTCATCTGTTTTTTTTTTTTTTTTTTTTTGGTTTCATCCACACATTTACCATATATAGAGATGCTAGTCAGATGAATTGGGTTGTTGGAATTTCTGTATTTTGTTCACTCTTCATGCTAGATTGAGTGTGTTTGTTTAGTCTGGTTTTCCTTTTTCATGTCAAAAATTGTTTATTGCAAATGAGTCTTGTGGATATATTATACTTAATACTTTTTCTGCAACATTTGATCTATTATCCCATTTTTTTGGAATTCATTGACTTTAAAGCTTCGCTTTGTTGATGTGTTTACATTTAATTCCATCTAAATTTGTAAAATTAACTTGTATGTAATGGTTTGGCTTAACAGGGATCTGTATCACATTGGTTGCAAGAAATCCCCTTTGGAGTTGCATGGGAATTTTTCTTTCTTTTCCATTTTCGGGTTACAATGATTTAGAGAACGGCTTTGAATCTATTGTTTTAAAATTCTTTAGTTTCGGGGACAATGGAGTGAAAAATCCAGTGCAATCCAGCAGCTTCCATGGCCATGATTCAAAACCCACCATATTGCAATTATTGGTTACTGGAAAGATGACGATAGAAGGTCTTGTTAGCTATAAAACAAGACAATCTGAAACACCTTTCTTAAAAGAAACTCCTTTACTGGAAGAAAAGAAGAGCAAAGTGCTCGTAAATCAATCACCAAAATCAGATAACTTGACAGAGAAAATCACACAATTGCCTCATTGGGATGCTTACAACCCCAAACATGAGGCCGCAATTAAGTTGCAGAAAGTATACAAAAGCTTTCGAACAAGAAGAAAGCTAGCTGATTGTGCTGTTCTAGTCGAGCAGAGCTGGTATGTATGTTTTACTATTATTTGCAGCACTTTTCTTTCCTTTTTCCTCAATCTGTTAGAAAGTTTTGTCGCCCTAATATCGAAGTTTTAAATATTACAGGTGGAAGCTGTTAGATTTTGCAGAACTCAAACACAGTTCTATATCATTCTTTGATGTTGAGAAGCATGAGACTGCCATTTCACGTTGGTCAAGAGCAAGGACCCGAGCTGCCAAGGTAAATTTGGACTAGATTGATATGACATTATAACTTATTTAAATTTTCCTTTTGCAATTTGTCCAAGAAAATTAATTTTTTTTTTTCGTTTGCTATCATTTTGTAGGTTGGAAAAGGCTTGTCGAAGAATGGTAAAGCCCAAAAACTTGCTTTGCAACACTGGCTTGAAGCAGTAAGTGAATTATTGTAATGAATTTAGATTTATTTTTGCACTCAATTTTTTTGGTTACTGATTTAGACTTTTCATTCCTTGCATTGAAAAGATTGATCCAAGGCATCGTTATGGGCACAATCTCCACCTCTATTATGATAAGTGGCTTCACAGTCAAAGCAAAGAGCCCTTCTTCTACTGGTAATTCTCGACAATTTTGCTAGAAAACAAAACTTTCACTTCGTTAATAAATTTTACTGCTGAGTTTTAGAATTCAAATTACGATATTGACTGCTGATTCGAAAATGCAGGCTAGATATAGGCGAAGGAAAGGAGGTGAATCTCGTTGAAAAATGTCCTCGGTCAAAACTTCATCAGCAGTGCATCAAGTATCTTGGTCCGGTAAGCATCTTTTGTTTTATGATCATAGTTATTTAAAGTGTTTGTTTTTTGTTTTGTTATTTCTGTTTATAATTAGTTTGCTTTAGTTCTCGAAACCTTCGTGCTGATATTTCATTTTTCAAATATTTAATTTTTTCTTATCACAGATGGAAAGGAAAGCGTATGAAGTCGTACTGGAAAATGGGATGCTCTTCTACCAGCAAACAGGGGAGCTCATTGACACCACTGAACCCAAGGGTGCTAAGTGGATTTTTGTCCTCAGCACATCTTTTATCTTATATGTCGGCAAGAAGAAGAAAGGTTCTTTTCAGCATTCTAGCTTCTTGGCTGGAGGAGCCACATCCGCTGCTGGGAGATTAGTAGTTGAAAAGGGCATCCTAAAGGTATGGTTTAATCTATAAACAGAGGGAAATATGCATATATATTTGCACATATTCAATTGATTTTAAAGGCATTTTCGTCAAATATTTGCAGGCAGTTTGGCCTCACAGTGGCCATTATCGACCTACACCGGAAAATTTTCAGGTGTTACTTTCATTCCTCAGGAGGAACAATATAGATCTCACAAATGTGAAGGTAAAAAATTGGTTCATATTATTTTCTAGTGCTATGAAATTTCTTCCTAAGAGGTTGAAAATGAATTGCTGATTCCATCCTCTTTTATGTTATATGCAGATGGATCCAGTGGTTGAAGAAGAAGAAGAAGGATCACTTAGAAAACAACGCAATGTTTTCCTTCGACGCAATTCATCTGAAGAAGACTTGACTGAAAAGGATGACTTGGAGAAAACCAATTTAATAGAAGGGGAGACTCTTGCTGCAATGGTACAACCTAACTCAAGGCCACCTAGGAGCCTTACTGGAAAATTGACTGATCTTACAATACCAAACAAGGTTGATTTGTTTCAGAGATTCGAGGATGAGAATCAAGCTGTAGATTCAAGTATCAACAGATTTGAAGCAGAATCCTCATTGGATGGTTATGATACATCCGAAGAATCAGTTGCTTGTGATCAAGATCATATGCTTCTAAAGCAGAACTTGTCTGATGAAGAAGATAAAGAAGCCATAGAAGAGACTATTCCAGAAGAAGTTATTCTTCAAAGGATTAATTCACACAAAGGAATGAAATCATTTCAATTGGGGAAGCAGCTGTCTTGCAATTGGACCACCGGAGCCGGACCAAGGATAGGCTGTTTGAGGGACTACCCCTACGAGCTCCAATCCCGTGCTTTGGAGAAACTGAACTTGTCTCCAAGAAGTGCTAGCTTTCTCAGATCAGTATCTACACCGGCCAGTTACAGCGGAGAAACGCTGGCGGCCATCGTCTCACCTGTTCCCGAGAAGACGCAACATTTGCTTCGAAGAAACACTAGGCATTCCATAGCACCGTTATCCCCATTGTGTAAAGGAACCTCAGTAAATGCTACTCCCAAGTCATGAGGACTGGGTGAGAGCAAATTCTCTTTGATTAATTCATTCTTTTTGATTAATCCATTCATTTTTGGGAATTCATGAGGTGATAGGAATTCTTGTTGACATTCTTTTTTTTTCAACGTCAATCATGTACACATTATTTAACATGTAGAATATGAAATCTGTAAAATTTTGCAGTGTCTATACCCTTGTCATATAAAAGAGAGAATTCCATTTTCCTTCCAAAAGTTCTATTGTACTAGAACTGGTGAACTTGGTAACTTTCTAGTGTTCATCTAGGCATTGCATTGAGAGTAGAGTGGATTAATATTACCAGCAGGCCAGTGACCTAACGGTACCGACCCTTACTTCTTAAAGGGAGATTAGCATTTCTAGTATCGGTAAAGACATATAACGTGAGTACCAACTAAAAAAATAATAATAATAAGATTAATATTATCGTCGAACAAATCTTTGTTGAATGATTTGTTTGGGTGGGCTCAAGTTTGTGTGAGGAGGAAGTTTTAAAAAAATGAGAGGGACAGTCAAACAACATACCATTCAACTCTTGGCACCTATGAATAAGAACCAGGGATTTTTACCAATATATGGGCTTAAGGCCCAAATACTATAATATAATAAGGTCAAAGTCTTGATTCAACAAGAAAATGGGAGGACTACACATGCAAACTACTTCTTAAAAATGGAAGGACCACATGAACTATTTCTATAAAATGAACTTAATTTCTACTTTGGACTACAAAATAATCTATATTACTATAATGACCCAAACTATATATTATTATAACATAAAAGCCTTAAAACATGAAACAAATTTACGGAAAGATCTTTGAACAAACTATTTAATATTTTTCTAACTTTTTAATAAATTAAAATTTCACAGTAGATTAATATGGACTTATAGACTAAATTTTTTTAATGTCTTCATTATTTCCTTGTACTAGGTAAATGCTTTCTGGGTAGTTGATACTTAGATTCTGGATATTTATCGTTCAAATCATCTATTTCTAAATTATCAAAATCATATATGATTTTATCTAGAATTTCATCTTCTAGTTTATCATACAAGACATTAATTTATTCGGAAGATTCTATTTCAACTAAAGTAGTTATAAAATCTTCTTCGTTATTATTATCTATTAAATTATCTTGTCGTTTATAATTACTGAAACGTATACTAGCTTCTCCAGTATGTTTTACATATATTTTATTATTTTCGGGAATATTTTGGATTGTCTTATTAAGATTTGGTAATTCCCATTCAGTTTCTTTATAGGTTTCACTACTTACTTTTCTAGCTTCAATCATTTGAACATATTTACTACTAAATGGCTTAACTATTTCATCAAATTGTGCTTCAAACTTTAGGTTATATTGATTAACTGTTTTTCCCATAAATAAAGTATTAATTAGTTTATCATACAAGACATTAATTTCTTCGGGAGATTCTATTTCAACTAAAGTAGTTATAAAATCTTCTTCGTTATTATTATCTATTAAATTATCTTGTTGTTTATAATTACTGAAACGTATACTAGCTTCTCCAGTATGTTTTACATATATTTTATTATTTTGGGAAATATTTTGGATTGTCTTATTAAGATTTGGTAATTCCCATTCGGTTCCTTCGTAAGTTTCACTACTTATTTTTCTAGCTTCAATCATTTGAACATATTTACTACTAAATGGCTTAACTGTTTCATCAAATTGTGTTTTAAACTTTAGGTTATATTGATTAACTGTTTTTCCCATAAATAAAGTATTAATTAATAAGTTTTCATATTGGCCTGCCATATTATATCCTTTTGTTGATATTGTTATCTTAATATGTTTACTAAATTCTCTAGTAGTCATTCTGTAATTAGGAATACATCTTACAATAGTTGCGCTAACTGCTAAATCTACTTCTGCGCTGGCTATTTGTACTTATTGATGGTTAGTCCATTTATCATCATAAATATAAATGTGATACCCCTTGAATCTGAGACATGGGTTGATCAGGCCCAAGCTCAAACCCAAACCCGAGGGAATATCAAACAATTAATATATAAACGAACACAGAATATAAAAAATTTAAGAATAAAATAGTAAAGCTGGAGGAATTCAAAATATTAACTCCTCAAAAATAAAGATTAATATAATCCAACTCTCCAAAACCTCCAAGAGTACAACTCAGGAATCCATCTACTGGACCCCTAAATAAAATCCCAACTGAACATAAACAACTAGAAATAAAAACCAAATCTAAAACATAGAATGAAATCCTACGTCGTCGGTAGAATGAACGACCGTCTCTGCTCAGCCCGAACAAGCCCTAAGATTGGAACCGTCCAATACCTGAAAAATATAAGAGTGACTCAGACCCACGAACAAGTTCTAATCTAACTGCAATCCATACAGTGACCCGATATGCAGATTGTGATACCCCCTAATTTCGGAATACGGGTTGACCAAGTCCGCGCACAAAACCAGGGGATATCAAAACAATTAAAGTTTAAACAAGCACAGATTATAAAAATGAAATAAAGAATAAAATAATACGCTAAAGCAAACTAATAAATAGTAAATCCATTAATATCTCTCCAATGGTTACAACTCGGGAATCCTGTAACTCAAGGACCCCTTAAATAAAATTCATTATCCAGAAGTTCATTATTAAATACTAATATCAAATAAAATAATAATAATATCCTACTTTTAAATAAACCGAAAGAGTAGATAAGTCTTCCATATGCGGATCCTCAACCTTGAGACTTGAATTTCTAATAACCTGAAAAACAAATCGCGAGTTAAACATTATGAGCAAGTTCTCTCTACCAAACCTCTGAAAACCAATAATCAAACCATCTATACCAAAAATAATTAATAATTTCAATTATTTATATTACATAGCTAATACATAAGCTTTAACAATTAGTCCATGTCTCTACCAATATTATTTTAGTAATATAATAAAATAATAATTAACCTGTAGGTACTAGATTATTCTAATAAGAACATCCAATCCTAATCTAACTTATACACACAATATCCATAGATGTATTTTAAATCATCTACCACATAGCAATTTAAATATTCATTGGCAATTCAATCATGCCGTTATAAATATAGTTATTTATATATCAACAATTCAACCATGCTTCCTTAAGTATATTTATTTATACTTTTAATTAGCAATTCATTCATACTTCCTATATATGAAATTTATTCCTAAATAATAAGGCCATTTATTTAAGCCTTTAGCAACTCATCCATGCCTACAATTTAACCATGTACCAAACCTTAAAACCAATTTAACCATCAATCAAATCATACATAGGCATTCCATGCATATTATAAGCATATACTTAATTTAATAACCAACCTATCGAGATATACCAAATAATAATAACAATTTAATCATCTATATACATATACACATATACTATTGAATATAAATATATGTATAACACATTCCATAATAATCCTTGATTATTAAAATAATAGATATATACACATCAATACATATATATATATATATATATATATATATATACACACACACACTTCCTTCCATCCCCAACTACTAATTAAACATAGGTACGCACATTAAATACCATAGCGACACTCTATGGCTATCAAACCACCATGAGCGCATCCCTTAGTGGTTATTTTCAACCCTAATTGTTTAAAAATCAATTATGTGAAGACACTGGACCCCACAGAAACTTTCCGGGACCCCAAACACTGCTTCACGTGCCCCCACGCGCCACCCCACGCTCTTACACTTGCTGCACGCGTCTCCATGTGCCACCAGTCACTAGCTGCTGTCCTCACGTGCCTACACGCGCCTGATTTGGCCCTTTGCGCGTGCTGGCCTCTCCTCATTGGTTGCCTCACCTTGTCATGGTGAGCTCGTCCATACTAAATCTCCATCCACCCATTGATGGTATCCAATGGTTAGATCATGCAGGCGCACTATCTCTTCATGGACCGCACTGCCTCAGATCTTTTCGCTGTTGACTGGACCTTACCAATAGTCCAGATCTGTTGTGCACCCAAACTGTATGCGCCGCACCACACCACAATAACTTCTAATCATCAGGACCATCTAATGGTCCTGATTTAAGCCCACCAAGGTGTTGTACACCTTGCCGCACCGAATTCCAACCCCTTGTGAATGCTCTGATTCCCCATAATGCTCTAGTTATGAGTATTAACCCATATATTATATAAACATAATATATATCTTACCAAAAGTTATATAAAAATATTCTAAAAAAAAATTCCGAATCATATAAAATATTCAGAAAATTTAGCCAAACCCCAATATTTAATAATTAATATTTTAGGGCCACATTAACATATATTAATTTTACCTCCATGTAATATAAATAATCATGCTAAACATAATTAAAACAACCTTTTAAAAAATTAAGAAACTAAAAACAAAATATGCTGATAACAGATACACATATATATATGATTAAATCAACATATATGTAAATAATAAACGTGATCCTAAACATCCGGTTAATAAATTATTTTCGATCAACACTATAAAAAAAAAAAAATTATAATTTTAATAATCAAGGTGATAGTCTTATGAGTCCTAAGAGGAAAAGTAGAGAAGAACTCACCCGTCTCTTCTAAATCCGGTCTCCTCTTTCTCTGATCCAGCCTCCTCTTTGTTAGCCCTTATTTTCTCTCTCTGTCTCTCTTATTTTTTTAATGTGAAAAAAACTCATAACCCTAAAGTTTTATGCATATATTTATACACATTAAAATCCAAATCCTTATCCAATTGTGACTACTAAATAAAATAATAAAATATAATAATCTTTAAATAATAAATACATCTATACACCTATACACCTATATATATATATATATATATATAGAAAGATAATTATTTTAAAATTCTTCATAACCATGGACATTTAATAATTAACCCAACAAGGCTTCCTTCAAACCGAATACCACATTCGTTGGTCCAACTTCCCTTAAAGTCAATCCAAATAATTTAAATACATAAAATAATTAAATTAAATCTAATAGTTACCAATAATTAACAATAATCTTACACAAGTATAAAATCACACAAATCAAATAAACAATTCACTAATTAGCATTCCACAAATCAAATACCATATAAATTTAACAAATAAAATTACGAAATATAATTTAATTAAAACAAGACAATTAATCTACACACTTAATTAAATAAAACAACTCATTTAAAAATAAAATAAAAGCAATTAATCACAATTAAATCAAATAAATCATTTAAAAATAAAATAATAGTAATTACTTCCAATTAATAAATAAATGCTTTAAATTGTCAGGGTATTACACAGATACATACTAGATATCTCACAATATCTATCTAGTCCATATATATATATATATATATATATATATATATATATATATATATCCACACTAAGGGACATTCACTAGATTACAAATGGGGTCTCAACCTGAATAGAAAGTAACATACAAAAACGCACCCAAAGGTGGGCATGAGTACCTAGACCTAACAGGGTACACCTCAACCTATCATAGCCAGCTACGCATCCACTTCATATACGCGCCCTAACCAACAAGCCTGAAATTCAAGCTCATCTCGTGGTACTATAACCATATATTTAAAGTCCGTCCAAAACTAGAGTATGTCATTCAATTGTTCATTGACTTGACATACGATTTATAATCCAGTTAGTCACTCAACTTATTAAGTTGATATGACTTAACTACAAACAAAAATTAATCCATGTAGTCACTCAACTTACTCAGTTGATCTGACCTAAATATAAGTATGAGTCAATTTTTACAATCCATTCCCTTATTCCAATAGGGTAGGTCTTAGCGTTTTAAGTTAAACCATCCCTAGTATGCCACCGTCCCATACCGGTACATACAATTCACAACATCTAGATAATTGACAGAATTTAATATCACAATTCAGCAATTATAATCCAACACATAGATCCAGATAATTGACAGAATATAAGTTAATAAATCCTCAATTAAAGTCCAGGTTAACTTCCATGTAATTGACAGAATTTATGTTATTAATTCATCAATTAAATCCAGGAGAAGCATAACAAAATCTAATATGTATAAGACCCTATTATGCATCCAAAACAACTTTAAAAATCATACTTCAGTCATCTAGGTTGCTAAAATAAATGTAAGCAATTAAATATTTTATATTCGTCAACAGTGTGCGACATTACTTAAAACTTCCACACTGTGAATACCATTAGCATATAGAGATAAATTATACATTGTGGGTTCAATTTCAACATAATATCATGTTTATAGTTTATACTACAATCCGTTAAATTGTTAAAACAAGATTAAATAATTTAGTCATTCCTATCCGTTAACAGTGTGCAAAGTTGCTTATTTTTATACTGTTCATCCTATTTACACTACTGAACAAATTATGCAATTAAAGAGTTTAAAGTCTAATGAAATTACATTTAAAATTCTCAACACAGTCCTTGAAACAATCCAGAATACCAAACACGTCTAAAACAGTGCCCAAAACTGTTCCGGAATGCATCAAAACAAGGGAGCCTGCTCTCAAAACCACAGAGCAGGCTCAATGCACCATGGAGCTGGCTCCCTAGCCCTTGGACCCGTCTCTATGAAGAGGGGAGTCGGCTCCCAACCTTCTGGAGCCGGCTCTCTCCCTCTTTTAGAGCACTGATCCGCTTCTAATCCATTTCTGACCATCTGCTTCATCTCCGGCCTCTTCCTACCTTTCTATTCTTCCTTAAAATTGATCTTAACAGTTTAATATATATCCAGTATCATCCCAGTCCTTTGTTTATAACAGTGAGAATTAATAACCACAATTAATCAGCTACCGACTTGCTATGCCTTAAAAACAAACAACGAATCCCAATCTTATAAGAATTATTTCAGATAAAATTTAAACACATACAGATGTTCAATTTAGCATATATCACGCATGTAAGATTCAATTAACGTCCCATTAAATCCCTAGAGATCATCTAGGTATGCATAGAACACAGGCCAAGGAGAGAGAGAAAGAAAAGAACTTGCCTGTACAATTTTGGAATCAAAACCTTGTCGCCGTCTTCCTAAGCTTTCCGACGACGTCCGTTTACTATCCACTCAACTTCCTATTGCTTAACCTTCCCTCCTCCTAAGTTCGACCTTTAAGCCACAGCTGAAACCCTCATCGAACGTGCTTTGTTTTCTCAAAATCTCTCTGTGTTATGTCTCTACCTTCACTGTGCCGTGAATAGGGTTCTAAAACCCTAAGCAGACGTGTCATATATATTTATAGGCAATTACTAAACCTAAGTCCAATTAAAACCCTAAACTGAACCCTAGTCGGCCCATTCGTTAATTCTAATAGAGTAAACCTAATTTAAAAATTATAGCTATTACACTAATTTAATCCAATTAAAACAAGTAATTTCCAATAAAGAAAAATAAAAATACAATTAGTCAATTAAAGAAAATAAAAATACAATTAATCAATTAACAACCAATTAAACAAAAAATGTAATTAAATACAAAATTAAACAATTAAGTCAAATAAATAATAAAACAATTAAAAAATTTAGCAAATAATCAATTAATTAAACAAAAATGCAATAAAACCATAATTAAATACATAATTAAACAATTAAGTCAAATAAACAATTAAACAATTTAGCAAATAATCAATTAATTAAACAAAAATGCAATAAAACCATAATTAAACTGCCGAGACTATCCTTTTAAAATTAGGGGTATCACAATAAACAAGTACTTTGGTTTCTACATTTGATCTATTTAATCCTACTATGCTTTTCATTATAACACCTAAATGCATGAGATCTAATTTAGTTTTTTCTAATTCATGATAAGTTTCTGGCGTTACGAGATTTAATATTACTTGATTAGTAATTACACTAATTTTTCTTTGACTAAGATGATTATATATTTATTCAATAAAAAAAAAAAAAAAAAAAAAAAAAAAAAAAAAAAGATGATTATATATTTTACTCTAGAAATCTAACAAATTATTGGAATAAAGATTTGATGAAATAGTTAAGCTATTTGGTATAAAAGGTAAAAAAAAAATAAAGATAATAATAAAAAGGATAATAAAGATAAAAATGGTAATAAAGTTAACACATGAAAATATTCAAGAATTGCTAAAAGTTCTTCTTTAGATAAATTGTGCATAAAATAAACTTTAGGAGTGAAAATATAATTTTAACTTAATAAAGGGGTTCAAATAAAAAGTTTTTACTTTTGATTCATGATATAATAAATATATAAATTACTTTTGCTACCTCCACTTATATGTAAAAGTCCCCTGGAACTAAGTAAAATTTTCTTGTATGGAATCTTTCCTTTTTGTTTTTAATATGTGAAGAAAAGATTAGGTCATCTTTTTTCTTTCATGTTGTGTTAAAATATATATCTATATATATATATATATATATATATATATATATTATTTTTTAAATTTTTGTTGAGAATTGAACTTGGACTAAAACATATGTATGTCAGCTTATACCTTGATAACGACTAGATGGAGACAATGATTTTACCCAGAAATTAAGTAATATTTGCAATCAGGCAAGTTTATTAGCATACAATTTTATTCTTTGATAAATATAAACCAACATGTTATTTTTCGTAATTCTTCATTAAAACTTGTTTTAATTTTACAAAATGATTATCCTTTTGGCTATTATATATTACGGAGTACAAAAAAAAAAAAAAATCATATTTTGACTGAAAAAAAAAAAGTATATCAATTTTTGGTTTCACTCAAATTAAACATACCGCACGTCATATTGATAGTCCAATAACTATTTAAAGCACAAAATGTGAGTGCAAAAAATAATAATAAAAAAAACAAAAAAACACAAAACATACATATTTGGCAGATGCAATCAATCACCAAATAAAATTATTCAAAATTTGAACTGCGAGATATTCTTGAGTCACAATCATTCTGGGTGCCAATTATTGGTCTTGCGCAATCATTTTCACTTGACCAAAGGAGGCCGTGGCCTAAATTCATGCACTTTGTAGGCTTGTTACAAGTATATGGACTAAAATGTAGTTAGACGCTAAATTCTAGAATAAATATGTGAAAAAAGATATGGATTTGGTTAATTGTTAGTTTTGAAAACAGTTTTTAAGAATTAAAAAAAAAAAAATTATTTTTAAATAATTGTAAAAGATAATTTTTTTTAAAATTAAATCAAGCAGAATTTTAATATAATTTTTTAAAAATAAAAAGTTAGTTTTCAAAGTTACAAATTAAACGGACTTTACATTTTTCAAATTCAGAAATGTCTACCTAACATGATATGATGCCACATATGCCTCACTTGCAAACTATTTGACATCATCCCTATTCCAATAATGTATTATTATTCGGATTATATTTAAAGAGAGCTAAAAATTTCAAATGAGGACTAAATTGTAGTCGCATGCTTAATCCTATATATATATATATATAATCAAAGAGGAAGCATAGTCCGTGGTGGTGTTGGATTTTTTTTTAAATTCGATATGATCAACAGTTTATACTATTTTGTTCGAATTTGTTACATCGTAATCGCAACCAATCTTGCGATCATGACCGATACTCCAAATCATGTGAGGAACTAAAAATTCTAAATAAGGACCAACTTTAGTTATATGCTTAATCTAAAAAAAAAAGAAAAAAAAAAAGCTAAAAATTCTCTTTTTGTGACTAAACTGTAGTTAGTGGAAGAAAACCAAGATAAAGAATCTCGATGTCATCAAAAAGTAAATCAATTTTGTTTTTATCCACCACCACCATGTACCAAATCGTGTTCCAAAGATTCAAATTCAGTCACTCCTCTCTCCTAAAAAGGGCCACCCACAAATATATTCCTTTTTATCCACCTCAGAACTTCAAACAAACTCACCTCATCTACTCTGTCACACAACTAACATACCCGAAAAAGATTTTTGTGTGTTTTTTTCAGCTCAAATGTTTGTAGCTTCGCTTTGTGAGCTGGATAGTGAAATACCCATCAAAAGATTTCAAGGTAAGAGCTCTGGAAAACACAATTTTAGAAGATTTGGTTTTGCTTTGACTTTGGTGGTATTGTTGTTGGGTTTTGTTTTTTTTGGGTTTTGTGATGATGATTTTCCAATGGTTTCAGTGCCTCTTGGTTTTGAGATTTCTGGATTTGATAGGAGTAGAAATTGGGTGTCTGAAAATGGGGTTTTTGCATTTGGGTTCTTGGAGAAAGATGGTGATGATGTTGATGGGTTTGTTGTTGGTATTAGGTATAACTTAATTGAGCAGAAAGCTGCTACTGTCGTTCCTATTTGGACTGTTGGTGGGGGTATTAGGGTTTCTATGAACTCCACATTTAGGCTTTCCACTGATGGGAGGCTGCTCTTGTTTCAAAACCCTAATGGTTTGGTTGTTTGGAGTAGTAATACCTCCAGTTTTGGTGTTCAAAAGGCTAGTCTTTTGAACACTGGCAATCTAGTTCTTCTTGGTGTTGGAGATGAAGTGGTTTGGGAAAGCTTTAATTGTCCAACAAGTACTTTACTTCCCGGTCAATCTCTCCATTTCCCCCAAAACCTTAGAGCCCCTTCCACCAAATCAATTTCGAGTTACTACAATTTGGTGATTCGGCAGAATGGTGAGCTTGCCCTCGAATGGGAACGCAATGTAACCTATTGGAGGAGTCATTTGAGCTTCTCTGCTGTTGTCAGGGAAGCAAGGTTTGATTCTAATGGTGTTTTAGGACTCTATGATGATGTCAACAGGACGGTCTGGTTGGTATCAAGTAAGGATTCGGGAGATCCTTCTGTCGATTTGAGGCATCTTAGGATTGACCCGGATGGGAACTTGAGAATTTATTCATGGGATAGTAAGCTTCATAGTTGGAGAGTTGGGTGGCAAGCTGTTGAGGACCAGTGCAAAGTGTTCGGTTCTTGTGGCTTATATAGCTTATGTGGATATAATTCCACCGGACCTGTTTGCGATTGCTTGTACTCGAATTCCTTAGATTGGGGGACTGGTGCTCCAGCAATGGATTCAGGTGGTTCAGGGTGCAAGAAAATGGTGGATTTGGGGAACTGCAAGATGCGTACGAGTATGTTGGTTATGAAACAAACAGTTCTGTATGGTCTTTATCCCCCTGAAGATATTGATATCATGTTGAGTGAGGAAGCCTGCAAAGAGTACTGCTCCAACGACACTAGTTGCATTGCTGCAACATCAAAGAATGATGGTTCCGGTTACTGCACAATCAAAAGAACCATCTTTGTCAGCGGGTACAAGAATCCGTCTGTCCCTGCAACATCTTTCTTGAAGGTGTGTTTGGTTCCTCAGGCAGTTTCTGCTCAAGGAGCAAGTAATGCAGAATCAATTTCTTTGTTGTCCGGTAGATTCATAGCTCGAGGAGGCAGCTTAAAAAAATTTATAGGAGTTATTGCTTTAATAATTGTGGTGACAGTCTTGCTTATGTTGGCCGTGGAGATATCTGTCTTTTTGTTTGTTTACCGGAGAAGAAAATTTGAAGCTCAAACAAGGATTCCTTTTGGGAAGGATGCCCAAATGAACCCACATTACAGTGTTGTCATCAGACTATCTTTTGAAGAGATAAAAGAATTGACTGCCAACTTTTCGACCCAGCTTGGCCCATCTGTATTTAAGGGCATACTCCCTAACAAAACACCTGTAATTGCTAAGGTGTTGAATGATGTGATTGTCTCCGAGAAAGATTTCCGAGTGGCAGTTTCTACCTTGGGTGCCATGCACCACCGGAACCTTGTGCCTGTAAAAGGCTTCTGTTTTGAGTCAAAACAAAAGATTCTACTTTATGAGTACATCACTCGGGGATCTTTGGATAAGTGGCTATTTGGTGCCAAGCAGGACAAAAATGAAGGAAATTGGCAGCAAAGGCTTGATATTGCTCTTGGGGTGGTGCGAGCCCTCGCTTATTTACACTCCGAGTGTCCACAATGCATAGCTCATGGGAATCTGAAGCTCGAGAATGTCATGGTAGATGAGAAGTTGGTTCCGAAGTTGACTGATTTTGGACTTCGGAGCTTACTCCAAAAGGAAGCAGGTTCTTCGTTAGAGTCACCATGGGAGAGAGATATTTACATGCTTGGAGAAATGTTACTGCAAATTGTGACATGCAAGAGGAATATTGTAGGAGACAGTCCGCAGAATATAATCAACGAGTTGATTCAAGAACGAAAAATTGAGGCTAGTGAGGAGTGGATAGCAGTCGAAAGAGTGGTGAGGATAGCTTTGTGGTGTATGCAAAATAAACCCTTTCTAAGACCTTCAATCGCGGAAGTGGTTAAGGTGGTAGAAGGTACACTTTCAGTAGATAGGCCCCCGGCTGCTGTTGCTGTTAGAGACGAGACTCAGACGGACGAGAAACTCACAACCGACGTAGAGGTAGAATCCGAGAGGAAAAGTTTTGGAGGAATAAGAGAGTGCTAACATCAGACACCACCTCGAGGTTTAACCGGGAATGGGGCGAATTCTGGGAGTTCAAAGTTTTTGCTAGATTGAACCCTAGAACCTTGATATTCTACTGAGAAGTTTTTGGTTCTTGAAAACTTCTCATGGCATTAACAAGTTAGTGGCAGATGTTTGCTTGAAAAGTCCAACATCTTATTTTTGGTTCTTCATGGTGAGTTTTGAGTGACTTAAAACTTGTATCATTGTTGCTTTTCACAACCATGCCTGTGTAATTATGTTCTCAGTTATTCAAGTAACTGAGTAATTAAATGAATTACCACCAAGTTTACTGGCTACTAATGCTTTTATGTAAAGTTCTAAGTTTCTTATTCAATGACTAGAGATTAATTGTTTAGGCTTGGCCTTTGAAGTGTCATGCTAATTTTTATTGAAAAATCATGATGTCTTGTGGATTTTTTTATTTTATTTTTTATTTTTATTTTTATTTGTTATCTATGAGGTCCAACCCTTAAAATAAGATACTATGAGTCACAAAAAAGACAAAAAGGAAAAAGCTAGGAAACATGAATATATATTTTACCATGATTACGTTTGAAAATAAAGTTATTTTGTCAAACTCCAAATAATTATATGGGCCAAATATAGCAAGTGGTCCATCTTTGTTTTTTTTTTTTTTTTTAACAGGAATTCCGATTCACACCATTCACTTTGATAGCAGGGCCTGAGCTATACAAAAGGGATCTGCATTTATTACAAACTAGGTACTTGAGTTAATGCTATGCACGTTGTAATGCATGACCTCTGTTTTACGAATAAAGAAGCAAGATTGAGTTATTCCCCCAATCAGCAGTCATTTCCAAAAACCCCCATGGGTTGGTCCAGTGGTCATGGATAGGAATCTATTAAGTAGTCGAAACCGATCACCAATCGCAACAAGTCATACAAAAAGCGCACACATTTAGTTGCATAGGATTCCATCATTTAGTTGCATAGGAATCCATCTTCTTGCTCCCCTTTAACTGACGAATCCAATAAATTACATGAATCTACTTGTTTTGATATTATCCATCGCAAAGCATTCCAAAAGGCATTGGTACCTTTTGTGCTTTAAAATTCCTGACATCATGAACCATTTTGATCATATTTGCCTATACCACAGCGTAATAAGATAGATATATATATTTTCTACTCAAAATCTTAAAAACGAACCAATTGTATTTGAAATTTTTTTGAGTGTTTAATGATAAGTGAAATCTTTCTCACTGAAAATTCAACTCCATTTAAAGTGGAAGTAAGTGAAATATCTAAATTGCAATAGCAAGCACACTTAATTGAATCATCACTTCAAATTTTATACATTTTCTTGAGCCAAAAAATTATTAGTTTGAAACTAGTCTCATTATACACAATTCAATCTGAGTCTCACCTATTCTGGATTCGGAATTCAGCTGAGATGAGATGTGGTATTAAACAACCGTTCTCTGCATAAAAAAAAGTAGTGCCCAGTTGTCATTGGTGCCGAGGAACTTTCAAGGCAGCGAGAGCTGCAACACACTAACCTGAGAACGGATCAGATCACGTTTGTGGCAGACTAGCTTCCGATTTTGCATGGCGCGCCACAAATGACTCAACAATTGGGTTCACAAGATGGGGTGCCTCATCCTTCACACATACCAACAAATGATTGGATTCAGAGGTTATCTTCAACACAAATTATTAATAAGAGTGTACAAGGAATCGCACAGATGAATGATTTCTTCAGTTAATGATGCAGAAAGGACCCTTTCATTCACAGATAGCACTATGATGGCAACCAATTTTGAATTAAACAGTACCATAAGCCAGCGCATTATTACCATTTCCACCATGTTCCTGGCTCTCATTTCGATTTTTTTTATTTTTTATTTTATTTTTAATATACCAAGAAATTGAGATTCATTAAGGCCGAGGAGGCATACTAACCAACTAAACACAAACAAAACTTCAGCAAGAATGCAAAGGGGAAATACCCAGCAAACAAGGCGACAAAAGCAATACAGAAGGAAGACACCCAAAGCTTAGATTTGCGAATTTAGAAAGCAACAATACATACCCATGACCTTCTCTATTGATGAAACTCATTAGCTAAGGTACCAGAGCACAATTTATCTTTTATGCTTGGGGCGAGGCCCAGGGTTGGATGTCGATATGCGTCTAAGAGTTGGTTTTATCAAGTTCTCAAACCCAATGACATGGACATAGTTAAATGATCTTACATTTTGATATTCTTCCTTCATATTATGGAGTGAAATAGTGTTTTTACCTAACATATAGTATTTCAGGTGGACACTTCATTTTTTAGCAATTATGTAACAAAAGGAACACAATAAGAGAATTTTATATAAAGTTACGAAAGACGAGAATTATCAAATGTCATGCCATATGTATGTACATGTTAGACATAAAGCTATTAAGTGCCGTATGCTTGACATGGTACTTCAAGCAATTGTAGGAGTACGTAACCTAGCTAATTAGTTCCCTAAAAATCCGTACCCCCTTTCAAACCTTTTGCAAACTACTGCACCTCCCATTTTACTATATATCTTGCTTCCAAAAACATTCCAAAAACTTAAAATGCAGAATTCATGGTAACAACCCATATCTCAGAAAGGAAAAGACCCAGTAAGATGCAATCATATAACCACCAAATTGCCACCTCTTTGAAAGGTTAAAAGACCCACTAAGATGCAATAATATAATCAACTAATTGCAGACTCCGCATTTGTGTGTGTGTGAGTGAGTGTGAGAGTTTGTGTGTGCGGTGTGTGTGTGAGAGAGAGAGAGAGACAGAGAGAGAGAGAGAACCTGAGGGCAATGGCCTACGTCAGGGAGGACAATGAAGTCTTCTACACAATCAAAATTTCCAAAGGCTCTTCCAAGTTCAATGGGCTCCCAGGGATCCTTGTCACCCCATCCTACCAAAACGGGACACTGAAAAAAAAATTTTAAAAAAAAGTAAGGAAAAACATTATTGACAGGCGAGGATAGTACTTGAAATAGTAAATATCAGTTTAGAAATATGACCTTCACTTGAGGCAGTAGTTCCTCAGGAAGAGGCCCCCCTGAATAACAAATGAACTCAAGAAACACATCTGCAGCACCAGGCTCAAGTCCTGGAAGAAGGATAATCTGAACTAATTCATCTGTCACCTGGGAAGTGTCATGATAACACTGAAAGAGAATCCGTCAGAAGCAGGTCAACATAGAGCAGAGCATAAATGGATTCATTCTTCTATTCCCGAACACTAGTTAAGGGCAAGTGTTCAAGATCACATTTTTGTAACTACAGATTATGTTATTTTTAAAATTTTTGAACACTATTACACATAAAAGTAGGTCTAAATGTATGAGATAACAGTTACCTATGGTTATTAACCCTTTTAGACTACATTCTCATCTTTATTACAGTATTACTACACATTCATCTTGTGTAAAATAGATTTTTTGCTATCATTGTTGACTTATACTTAGCAAATTAGCTTATAGTCCATCGACATAATAAACATCTCATTCCAAAACAGTTAGAATTTTTTTTTTTTTTTTTTTCATAAGTCAAAACAGTTAGAATTTTAAATTTATTTATTTATTATATATATATATATATTTTACCTTGGCAATAAACTCACACACTTAAACCCTCGCCCTTAAGTGCAGTGTGGATAACTATGCAATCTACCACTTTCTTTTTCACCTATATTTCACTCTTATTAGAAGTATTTTTTTTCTTTCTTTCTTTTTCACTGCTTTCTTTTGTTCTTCTTGTTAATTTATGTATTTAAAACATTTAAATTTAATTTGACATTATTCAGAATAATAATGCCATTTTGCATTATTTTAGGGGAACGGTTTTCTTATGATCAACACGAACTATAGTTGAATTTTCAACCTTGGCCTTAGAATCTAGTTTTCCAACTTCAATATTTATTGTTTTGAGATTCAATTCCTACTTTTCTAACTTAATTTTCAGTTCTTCATCCAATTTCCTAGACCATGTTCTAATTCCAGAACTTTTACTTCGCTGATTAACACTCTTTCTTAAGTTTAGTCATCAAAATTGTTGAACTAGTAATTTCTAACTTAAGATTTTCTAATTTAACTTCTATTGCCTTTAATTTGTTAAAAAACACTCAGAATTCTCTACTTTCAGACTTAGCAAATCATTATGTAAGTAAAAACTAGCCTAAATATATCATCTTTATCATATTCAAAATTATGTTAATCGTGAGATTATATCTCTTTCAATTCATCATTAGAAGCCTCACAAATAGAATATTCCTTTAATAGATATAATTCTCTCCCACAATCACTAAAAGTAGTAGTATCAGATGAGCTAGAGTAATTGCTTTGATACCAATTATTAGATTGTTAATTCAATCATCATATACATAGAAGTAAAGTAAGACTATAGACATTTGATTTTTAGTAGAAAGCCCTAAAAAGGGAAAAACTATGAAACTTAGTCCAGCCAAGAACTCTAGATGATCATAGACTTAAAATCCTACCCTAGACAGACCATAACCCTATTTCATAACCAATATAGGTAGCCCGTACATTTTGGTACCTAAAATCTTTGTAGAGATCTGTTTAGATAGACTTTTAAAAAATATATAGTTCCCCAAGATTTGATTGATCGAGACTTTGATTGACACCCACTCGACAATCTTTGATAGACCAACACTTCGATTTATGCTCTTAGGTTTTCAACCATTCAGCTCAGACATCCCAACAATAGATCAACCATTCGATTGACACTCTCGGGACCTTACTTGATGGATCAAGCTCGACACTCTGTTTTTCAGCAAACATATAGTTTTAAAATATCTTGAAATCCTTTAATTTTGGAAAAATCATTTCCAAAAACACATTTGAAACAAAACTTTGAGCCTCTCCAAGATCAAACTAGGTCATTTAAGGCCTTTCTAAGATCAATTTACCCGTGTCCTAGATATATGATTGAGGATGTGGATACTTGCCGTGTTCTTCACGCCTTCACGGACTTTTGCTTGCATCGTCTTCAATGGTTGTACTTATATAACTCATAACACTTTAACACATTACAAAAAGAGTTTTGAATAGGACATTTGACTCTTATTCCTTAAATGGTTAAACCTCCCATTTATCTTTTCAGTTCACAAGGACGCAAAATTTTGTTGGCTAACCTAATTGATAGAAACAGAAGGAAGTTTCGATCCTTGAACAAATACAATTTATGGGTATGTTTATTAATCAGATTGACTCTGAATACTGAATCAGATGTTAAGAAGATTGATTTCAAATGGGACATATATTTTGGAAATCTGATACTACCTCCTTCCCATAAATAATGTCTCTTTCAACGATTCAAATTTTTTAGGGGTTTGAAAATTTCAAGACTAACCCTCAGTAGTTTAAAGATTAACACATAATTTGGAAGATTTTCAAAATCTAAGGATAATTTATTAAAGTTATGTTGTTGTTGCTTTTTTTTTTTTTTTCAATTGAATTTTCAAAAGGGGGCACTGATTTTAAGACATCCTAAAAAGTAAAGAGAGACATTTATCTTGGGACATAGGCACATAGCATAAATTATTGGATATTTTTTAAAATTGACTATTCAAAAGGGGACATTTATTTTAAGACACCCTAAAAAAGTAAGGACAGACATTTCTTCTGGGACATAGGCACGTAGCGAGTAAATTATTGGATCTGTTTGGGATTTTTTAACAGTTATACAACTTTCTTCCTGTGTAGCGCTTGACCTCACAAGCTTTACTGCCTAAGAAAAGTGACATATATCCATGTTGTTGGAGAGAAAAACCTGGCAAAGAATATTCCTCACTGACTCTGGTTTGGCAACCGTTCTAAAAAAAAATTTGCCAACAGCTGTATTCCTGAAACAAAGCATAACTATCTTAAACACTAAAATGTAAAGTTTAAAACTTTAGGCAAATAAAATGCACTAATAAATGCATATTACCTCAGGAGACTCTGGAATGATCTAATTAGAGGTCGTGCGAACCAAGGCTGTTTCTTAATATGAAGCATACGAAGAGATATATTTAGAAGGATTATGCCCTTACAGATCCGTGGCTCCATAACCACTGCTTGAAGACCAACAACTCCTACACAAGAAACATGAAATTTTTTTTAGTATGCATATTATGTCAATTTTACCTCAAGTTCTAAAAAATGCACCAAGGCATGTGGCCTAGTGGTGTCTCCTCTTCTTTCAGAGCAGAAGGTGGAGTATTCAGGTCTCCTCAAGAGCATTAGAGTTATTTGCCAGGAAAGAAAAAAAAAAAAAAAAAAATCTAAAATAGAAAGAATCAAAGGCCTTGTCAATTTTTATAGAAAATAGCACCAGGAAAGAGATTGCAGTGATGCTGTTTGAAAAGGATTATGTAACTGTGATGATGGAGTAGTATATATTACAGATGATGTAAAGCATACTCTAAGATGATATAGAGTGTGCCAGGCTGGCCAGCTTTCTTTCCAGAAACACTCCCCACAATAAATTAAAAATCCCAATAGGACCCAAGTAAATTTATTTTTGTGATTTTAAAAAGAAGTTATTTTCATCACGATCGCGAATCTAGGTGGCCTAATTTGACATCCCTATCAATTGCTTAACATACGCCTCATAAAAATATGCCATATAACGTGCTTCGTGTTTTCGTCAGTAACGCATCTCCGAGCAACAAGTACCAATAAAGCAAGAACAGAGGAAAACATACAAAAAAAGGAGACTAAGAAATTTTCATGATATGAAAAATATCATAATAATAAAATGAAAGACATTATCTGTAACATCGAAATTTATTACGATTACGATTAACAATTTTTATAGCCTGACATATCGTTCTGAATGAAGATTACAATGGACTCAGTCAAGACTCAGTACGACTCGAAGGGACTCAGGGAGACTTGGAGAGACTCAATTGAGTAGGCACTGTAACAGGCAAGTAGCCCTTTTGAGCTGTCAGACTCAATGCTGTTCATTCTTACCCAAACCATCTAAGTCTACTTTCTCTAACTTTCTCACCAATGGGTGCTACACCTAATTTTTCTAACACTTTCATTAGTGATCCTATCACTTCTAGTCACTCCACTTATCCATCTTAACATTCTCATGTCCACTACATGAAGGCGTTGTTCTTGTTTTTTTTTTCTTTTCTTCTGGTGTGACCTTACCTGCCGTGATCTGTGGTGTTTCCACTCTCTTCTATTTCTAGTTGCTCCTTTGTGGATTGTTATGCACTTCAATGCCTACCTAATAAAATTTAAATACTTATAAACACAGATCACACATTAACAAAAAAAAAAATCAGTATATTCCCCTTGCTTTTGTTGGCCATATTTGAGAGAACACCGTTAGTAGATAATTTTTATTACTTTTTGGATATATATTGGTGGACTGTAATTTTTGCTCAACAAATCTTTAAGGACTTCATCAACGAAACAATTGGATCATCCTAAATGGGCTTCAAACCTATATACTTTATAATAATCAAGATAGCATAGCTCCCATAATATATTCTCTAACATAAAAAGGGAAACCATCTATTAGTTGATTGGATATTTTCATCACAAAGTGTAAATTCCAGCCTAAAATACAATTTAATTTAAAAACTTGCGGTTGTTTTCCTAAATACAAACTATCAACTTATTGAGTGTGCACGGAAGTAGGGGAAATACATGACAAGGGATCATATTGTAATTTGAAATATTATTACCCACCTTATCTCTAATGGTTGAATATCTTGTGCTCTGCAAGTCCAGACACAGTTTTGTGTGATTTCCCTTCTTTCTTTCTTTCTTTTTATTATTATTATTATTATTATATATTTTTTTTTATCAATTTATCAAGCTGAACTTAGAAACTATACTAACTAAAGGAAAGAATTTATGAATGAATGAAAAAGCTAGAACACACCAGGTATCCCCCAAGAAATAAGAAAGCCTTGTTACGTTGTTCCTTTTCTCCCTACTAGGAAGGAGCATTGCACAGAAAGCAAATACAACACTTGAAGAAACTTTAATTAAGGACAAGAATGAAAGAACGTAAAAATGGATGAACAGTATAACATGGCATGCATCATCAGAGAAACAGCTAACTGTGGGTAAAGCAAACACAAAAAACGAGACAACTTCCCCATTTTTACTAACAGGCAAGATGAAGGAAAATGAGACAAGGAGAAACAAAAAGGAAAATATGGCACACGGCATACAACTTAGCATTATAATCTATCTCCCCTATCATTTGAAACATATTTGAAGACGTATAACCTAATTGATTAAATCAACCATTTTTTATTTTATTCTTCAAATGTACTTAAACTTAAGATCCTATATCCTATTTTCTCTCGACAACCATGTGTAAGTTGATCTAAAGATCCTAACTTAATTGCCAGTTATGCGGTTTAGCATTTCTTAAACTTCATATTGAAATTGAGAAACCTGAAATTATAATTAATCACAAACCATTCAATTAAGGATCAGTATATCACAAAGACTATAAACAACATATCTTCTATGTATATGGTAGAGAAGTGAAATCACGTCAGATGAAAAATTATAAAAAATGATAAATATTATATAATATTAAATAAAAAAATAGGTGCCAAAGTGAATAATAGTATGTTTAAGAACTTTCCAAGCTTTTAATAAACTCTTAATAAAACCTAGCTAAATTTAGAACGTTTCAGAGCTAAACTTGAGTTTGAATAATAGTATGAAATGCGTCCGACATGTGTAATTGGACATGCACTTAGAAAGCATATCCAAATGGTTCAAGTTGGTTATATAAATGTGTACAAGTCTCCTGTTATGTTCATTTTATTACATTATTGTTTGAAAATGAGTAAAAATACCTTTTTTCTTTTACCACAAAGGAAGAAAGTTTGTCCATTTTTCATGATTTTTGTTACATAAAAACACAATCTACCCAAGCTAGGAAAAGAAGAAGATAAACAAAATTTGAATAGTTGGCTTTCTATATGATTCCCTGGGTTTGGTATTTGATAAATCAAACGGTTAGACATATATTCGCACTTGATACATGTATGAAGTCCATATAACATAGTTTAACACTTCACTGGAACAATAATCAATGCTTGTGCAATATCAGAAGTTCAAAATCAAATACAGAAAATGAACAGAACTAAAAATAAGAATGACAGTTCTACAATGTTGCAGAACAATTTTCATATTGAGAATGTAATTTGATGCCTATTACAAATAAATAACTAAATTTCTGCCTAACTAATATGGACAGGTGCAACTACTCAGACGGCCACCAAAAAAAAAGAAAACAAAAAAGAAAAAAAGAAGGCCATATATATATATATAATATACATTTACAATTGAATAGTAAGATATAAAATAATCAAACATCAAAGCTAGAAACCAAGGAATAAACTAAAGCAACATTGAAAAATATGACATCACCTCCAATAGAATTGCATATAAAGAATGCATCGTCTTTCACCACGTCAATACAGAACTCATTTAGCTGTGTGGCCCATGTCTCAAATGTATAAAAGGAGTTCACTCCAAACTCACGAGGATTTGGTTTGTCTGAATAACCATAACCAATCAGATCAATTGAGAATACCCTATGTGACTGTGCCAGAACCAGAATATTTTTCCTCCAGTGGTCACTGTTAATAAAGACGAGTGAGTCTGATCTATATTTTAGATACATCAATAAATACAATTGAAACGATGAAAGAACAAAATGTTCAAAAATCAATAGTAAATATATTGTAGAAAATACATTACCTTGCAGATTTAGCATGCAAAATATTGAGTCACATTGCTTATAAAGTCCAAGCTTCTAGGTTGCAATACAATCAGAACCGTGCAGAAAAAAAATAATAATAATAATAATAATAAAAAAAAATAATAATAAAAAAAAAAAGAAAAGAAAGAAAAAGAAAAGAAAAGATCAGAAAATGTTAATAAGTAATGGACCATATTATGCAAAATAGTGTATCATCCGTTTCACATAAACCTGGGCCCTTTACATTAATATTTAGTAAGAAATACTTGGTTTCTGACACTTCATGAGAAGTCCAACATCCCCTCTCTCAGGACCACATCCTAGAAGAACTATTACAAATGCCAACCCCCATCACAATCATCTCTACATTGCTACCATCACCATCCACTCATCCAAAAAATAAAAATTGCCATCTGCACTTTCCAAACAATATAAGGCTATTTCGAACTGAACTTTTCTTCTAGATTTTCCAGTGACAAAATTCTTGGAACTCTTACTTCTGTTCTATTATCTTCTCCCACCTCCTTTCATCGACCAAAGTAAAAAAAAAAAAAAAAAGAAAAAAAAGGATAGTTGGGGCATATCTTCATGCTAAATAAAATTAAAGTGTTTCAAAAACCTTTAGTAACACATTTGTTTGAACAAACTAAAATTTATCTTCAATATTAGCAACTCAATGTGTTGTTAAAGGGTATGAAAAGAACATGGCTCCAAACAAAAAAATTAATTAATTAATTAAAAAAAAAAAAAAAAAAAAAAAAACTCCCTGATACGAGGACTGTGACTCATTAGTGCATTATAAATTAGGGACATGAACTAAAGGCTCCTCCTGCTAAATAAATTTGAAGTGTTATCCTTTAATAACACATTTGTTTGAAAAAACTAAAATCAATCTTCCATATTAGCAACTCAGTGTTGTTAAGAATATGAAAAAAAACATGGCTCCAAAAATATAAAATCCCTGGTACGAGGAACGTGACCCATTAGTGCATTACAAGGGACATGAACCATGCGCTCCTCTCCTTCCAAATGGAAGAAGGTTGAGGGCTAGAATCCCAATTGGACAACAATGGGGTGTGTGATGTACCTACAAAAAATGATAACAAATAAAAAAGAGGTTTCGCGGGGGGGAATGAACCTCACTATAACCTCCTGAGAAGCATTCGTTGTGCTTTTTCAGAAAACGATATTTGTTATTTACTGTGTAATCAATAAGATGCATGGATTAGTAAAAATGGCAGATATTTTACAGATCAACATTGAAATGATTGGCCAAGCTGGGTCTATAGTCCTATACACAAACAAAGTAAAATGAAACCTTGATGAAGCGACTTAACTTTTAGACACTTGTTTACTTTATTAATGATTTAATACATACTGCCAATACCAAGACATAATTGACACATCCACAAATATGCCACAACTAGGAGAATAACTAGAAATAATTTTCCCTTCTCACAATACCTGTATTAATATCTGACACCAACTCCATCCAGAAATAGTAATTTTGTACTGCTCCAAAAGAAAAGGAGAAAATACTCGACGCAACACAACAAAGCCTTTTTCCAATTACTTATGGTCGGCTACATGAATCATATTATTTATTTTTTTCACTATCTGAGGCCAGTTATCATATCTTTCTTTAGCCTATTTTTGTTAATTTTGGTCATCCCTATCTGCTAGCATTACTTTCAAAGTGGACCATGTCACTCTTCCTAACTGGTGCAATAGGAGAAGATATTTGAGCAAAAACAATTCAATGATCGGATTCTCATTGAATTAACATTCAACTTAGGAAAAACTCTCATCCAGAAATATTACGCAGGTAAACTAAATGAAAGATGTCAGAATGATGCAGGACACAAAGATCATAGTTAGTTTTCTATTATATTATTCAGCATCTCATATAATAGTGTGATAGATCAACATGGTAACACACCTATTGTCCAGTTTTTTATATTACATAACAAAACCGTAGATTTTTCCCTTTATTCTGAATGTTTGTTTTTTTTCATAGTAACATGTTTTGTACATTTGTCTTCCATATTGGAATATTAGCCGATATTTAATTGGATCAAAAACCAGATTGAATCATTGATCACAGATGCTGAAAGTCTTCAACCAATGTCAATGTTGAAAGCTGAAACAATGAATAACATGCTCTCTTTTCCTTTCACCTTCTGTCTTTTGCTCTGAAACAAGTTCATCCTTGATTATGTATTGAAATTAAGGAAAGGTAATTGATGATGGTGTAAATCATAACAGTTCTGTTTGTACAATTGACCAAGGAGAAAATAGTTGGAGTCAACAGAAAAAAACCTCACAGAGAAACAGAATTAATTCAATTTTACCTTTGTGTGAAATTGATCAATTATTAAAGCTCACTATAATCTAAAAAACTTGTTCAAAATTTTCCACTTCCTCTTATATGAAAGGAAAAAAAAAAAAAAATAGAAAAGTAAAAATACTTTGCCTTTCAAAATTATCTACTTCCATCTCTAATAAACGTCAACAAGTTTCTTCTACTCCTCTTATCAACAACAACAAAAATAAAAGAAAGAAATATAATCCTTTCCATAATGATTCAGCATTGACCAAAAGAATGCGTAAAACATTATATGAGTGATGCAAAGAGTTTGTTTAAGCTTCCAATAATTCAACCCAGTTCCATGGAAATGCAAGTTTAAACTTTAAACTATTGTTAAATTTTCAAATCATACATGCAGTCAAAAAACATGAAGATAGATTGTGCTTTTGAGCAAAGCAGTTTGTCCATTTTAATACCTATATCAATTAGTTGACGAGAAGCAATATATTAACGATGTAGACCTGTTTGCTCCAAAACCATGAACCAGTACTAAAGCAGGGCCACTTTTCCCAGAGTACTGATAACGGATAGAATAACCCTTCCAGTTCCACATGCTACAAGAAAATAAATTGAATTGAAGAATCAGATACACAACATATTGAAACAGTCAAAAAAAGATACTATATTTATAACCAACTGGTAGGCAACAAATAACATGAAAAAAGGCTGCATAACAACAAACTATCCATCCATTCTACAAACAAAGAGAACTCTAGGGCACTCAATCAACATTTTTTGAACACTTGATTATAAACCCGCTCATGTTGAACTTCATAACTTTTCAATTTCATGTTTATAAGTGTTAACAATAATACATAGGGAGGGGCAATCTTAGTCAAGGTTCGCTATCTCTCTCTCTCTCTCTCTCTCTCTCTCTCTCTCTCGTACACACACATACAAGATTCTCTCTCAATCTCCTTTATCCGCTTCATTGGCCCACTGACACGGTATTGTAGCAATTATTGACTGGTCCATCTTCCTTCCCATCCTATTTTATCCCTTCTTCTCAGGCTTTGAACTTTCACCGACATGGTACCAGGTAAGTTGTATATGCCAATGCCCTTGTTATCATCCTTTCAGCTTCAACAGCAGTAGAGTTTCAAACAAGATTCTCTCTCAATCTCCTTTATCCGCTTCATTGGCCCACTGACACGGTATTGTAGCAATTATTGACTGGTCCATCTTCCTTCCCATCCTATTTTATCCCTTCTTCTCAGGCTTTGAACTTTCACCGACATGGTACCAGGTAAGTTGTGTATGCCAATGCCCTTGTTATCATCCTTTCAGCTTCAACAGCAGTAGAGTTTCAAATTGTTGTTTTCTGGCCTTTTTTTTTTTTTTTTTTGTCCCGCTGATTGAGTTATTGTCCTTTTTTTAAAGTATGTTCTATTTATGACTTGAGGAATGAGTTGAATCAAGTTGGTAAATGTTTCGATAAGAACTTTTGATTGTGCTTGTAAAGATTGTTTTTCACACCCCATCTGTAATTTGTAATATCAACTTGGGTATTATTAGTTGCCAGTCCATAAAGGCTTATTGTTAAAAGGGGCTTGTCCCACATCAGATCCGGATAGAGAAGGATTTGGGCATATATGGGTGGATATGTAGCACAGCCCAACAGCTTAAGCTATTGAGTGAGAGGGCAAGTGCCAAACTGTTACACTTGTCCTATACTTGGAACTTGGTAAAATTCTTGGGTAAAGAAAGTTGTAATGTTGGTGCTCTAGTGCTTCGTTTGCTTTGAGGTTATTTGTGACAAGTTCTTATCTGAACTTAATTCCTCTTTTCACTCAATTAGAAGTGACTATTTGATGGGCGAAGAAAGGTAGATTAGGAGTAAAATTCCATGTAAATAATTATAAAAGCAATTAAATCATAACTGATATGATATTTTGTTGCAAAAAGCAAGTGGGTGAATATAATTACTTGCTGGAGAACAAAAACTGATAATGACTTCCACTCCTACTAGTCATTCAACATCATGAATTCAATTTTTTCTACACTAGTATCTATAATCACACAATGCAAAGGAAGTTCTTGTAATCAACCCAATAAACCCTTTTCACTCCCAACAAAATTAGGTTATGCATATCATACATTCACCATATTTTGACTCATGAATTAACATTACTTTACTGCAAATTTAGGTAACACAAACTCAAAGACAAAACCCACAGATAAGACTGCTACTCAATGAATCATCATTCGAAATCAATTGAAAAATAGAATGAGTTTAAGGTGGTGGTGTTAGTGTTACCAGGTTTTGACTTCAATTTGGGGGCTGTTTTCTTTGGTTGAACCATCGATCGAACAATCATTGAGACGAGAAACAATGAGGCCACCATTTGATTTTGATTTAGAGAGGAGGGGTTTTGATGTTGTGCGAGAAACAGTGAGTGTTTTGGGAAGAAGGGTTGGAGCAGAAGGAATTGGTGAGGAGAAGATTGCTGTTGTTGGGGTTGAGGAATACGAGAGGGGGAAGTGGTGTTTGGATAGAGGAAACGTGGAACAACTTGTACTCGCCATACCAAGTGATTCAGATGAACAGAGTGGTCACTTGCTAGCTTTATAACTGTATTTTCTTTTCTTTTCTTTTCTTTTTTCTTTTTTTCTTATATTTTTTAATAATAATAATAATAATAATAATAATTTTTTTTTATTTATTTTTATTTATTTATTTTTGTCCTGGCAAACAAAAAGCCAACAATCCACTGCAGGAATATCCAACAAACAAAACAAGTACATAACACGAACATATTAGAATCACAAAAAAAGCAAATCACACTACTTCAAATAAACTTAACGTGAAATTAAGACATGACAGCTTAAACAGGTTTTGCAGTAAGACCGAACATGACATGTGGCATGCTACAAGAAGAAAAGTTATTGCATGATCCGTGTTACATATGTCTCGGCCAATCACATGAAATAACATAACACAATATATATAGTCTCGTGTAATTAGTCCTGAATCATGTAATGTGAGACTCACAATACATGTATACGTCTTTGACACCAAGACCACATGTGGGGCTTAGAACACATTTATCAGTGTCATACCTCTATTGTCATCCACCGCTAACCAGGCTGTGTTTGACCAGGGTCGTAAATAATGTACTCTTGAAAAACTTTGCTCCTATTTTTGAAAAACTTTACATGGTTGCTCGGTTGCTCCTGTTTTTAAATCAATTTCATGACATAGAAATTAGTTTGTGACATGGTTGCTGTTTTTAAATCAATTTCATGACATAGAAATTAGTTTGTGACATGGTTGAGCAACCAAAATTAGTTTGTGACCTTGAATCTACTTGCTTCTTACATTTTAGACACGTGCCATCTAACAGACGGCGCCAAAGTGTAAGTGCAAAATTTCTCTCAACTAATAATAATTAAAAGAAAAAATACAACTCACGCAAAAAAATAATAATGAACAAGAACTGAATATAGATAAGCGTAAATTGCTCGATCCCTTTATTGGAGGTCTATGCCTCTATTTATATACAAAAATGTGGTAGAATTATGGTAGGACTCGCATTGCTTGTCCTCCAATTCTTTCTATACACAACATTCTTTACAAATGGAGTTCCTTCCTTTGTCTAATTCTTTCCATGTTAAATTTTCCTTGCACAGAACCTTCCTTCTGTGTTGAATCCTTTGCTTAATAGGACTGGACAATATTTAATTGTACTTGGGCTGGATGCAACTTGGTTTAAATGACTTGACCAATGGGCCAGAACTTCAACAGTGGTGATGTTGGGCTGATTAATGTTTTTACCTAGCCTTGGAGGTCCAATATAAATGATATTGGGTTAAAGAATAATGTAAATTGGGCTTGATCCGGATGGGCTTCTGAAATCTACCAAATGTAGATTTATATAATGATGCCGTGTTCAATTCTCATTGGAGGGGATTTTTTCCCTCCACACTTTGCCCCCAATTCCCTTTAGTTTGATGTGACAGTCATAACTAGAGGGAATTGAAAAATTGAGAAGTATGCCTTGAAGGTAGTGACTTATATTTGTCTTCTTAAAAAATACGAAGACCCAAAATTAAGGCTTCTGAGGAGGTTGTAGTTGAGGTGCCCCCATGCTCAAAGGTGACGTCTTATGTTGAGCCTTCTTCTGTTCAAGCTATTGGTGCTTTCATTTTTTCAGATTGACGGTGATCACTCTTGGCGATTAGCTTGGGTGACTAGCCTTAATGAATAATGATGGTGATCATTTTTAATGATCATCATGTGTAATACCCCCGATATTTTTAAAGGATTTATTAATTAGAATTAATTATTTTATTTTATTTTTCAATGATTTATTTTATTTTATTGAGTGTTAGATTAATTATTTTATTTTAATTAAGTTATATTTCGTGATTATGTATGATGATTGATTGTTTATGTGGTTGATTATTGATTGAATTATTGATGTATTAATTTTATTGGTATTGTGTTGATTTTATTGGATACAACCGAAACACAGTAGACAAGGCAAAGGCGGAAAGGTACTTTTTGAACACTTTCAGGGTGATTTTTTTGTATATATTTTTCTTTTAGAAAAATGAAGTTTAATACCATCTCAAATATATTATGGATTAATTAGAAAAATAATATAAAATTTAAAATAACAAATAGCTTTAACCTTCAAATTCTTAATTTATTTACGATTATATGGATAAAATGGTAAAATATATATTATTCACATGTATAATCATATTCATTATATATATCTTTTTTAACATATCCATGCAATACTCATATCTTATGTTTTTTGTGATATATATATATATATATATATATATATATATATATATGTATGTATATTTAAACATTTGTCGTATCGCAAGCATCCCAGGTTAGAAGCCTTGGCTGTCAATGCTATCACACATGCAGTAACAAAGTACATAATCTTTCTGCTTTGCCTAATCAGCAAGGCATAACTAAATCCGGCAAGTTCTTTTTGTTCTAATTTTGTAGTCATTTTCCAATAATTCAACATGTTTATTGTCTTAAGTCTTCAATTCAAAATACCACTACCCTCAACTATTTTTTCTTCTCTTCTAACTACTCATTTCCTTTTCTCTCTCCTGCTTATCTAACACACTGAAATACTGGTGTCTTATGGAAGGTGGTGCTAACAAACATATTTGCATGTCAGTAACTACTACTATAGTCTGAAATATACACGTTTCATGTCGAGCACACCGGCAACGACACCCCAAAATAAAATCTCAAGCAGTACGAATGCCAGGGTTCCCCACTTCTTCGAATGAAGCATGAACTGCAATAGTGATTCCGTGTTGTCAACCTGCATACCATACGCCAAATGAAACGATAAAGCAAATATCTATAATGAAAGCATTTTTTCATAAACATAATAAATAATTTATGGAAGGGGAGGCTGTATTAATTGTATCTTTCATGCCTTACACAGTGTAACTCGGCCATATCTACCGCGCTGAAGAATAATTACAGAAAATGAAGTCAAAATTCACACCAACAATGTGATTCTAATTACACATAGATCCGCCCTCCTAAATTATATCTTCCACTCATCTAAAGTCCTCTAATCTACCATCCTTCTCTACAATAGCAAATCTTCTATTAAATTTGTGATTTGAAGCCCCATCTTTTCATTTAAAACCCAATCATCCAAATGGGGCTTAATGAAAAATAAATAAATACTTTTTTCCATAATAATGAAAATAAATACAAAGATGGAAATGAGCTCTAATAAAGAATAAATGGTTCAAAAGGGAGATTAGACTTGAGAGCAAGTGGAATAATAAATAAAATTGATATTGCATGGGTCAATAATTTGTAGCCTACAGTTCATGATATCAAAGCACCATCCACTGAAAATGGCAAAAAACTCTAAATGGTCATAAAGGAAAATGCATTTCAGAGCCTTGTTTTAAGAGGACGGCCTATCCTATATCTAAGCAAGCAAGCCAAACACTAAATATCTAAGCACCCACGAACAAATAGTAGTTTCTAGGAACTAGGATGTTTTTGTATTAGATAACTCCTTACTAATCTAAATATTTTTAGCGTGTGTAATATACTACTCCCTCTATCCCATAAAAGAGTCATGTTTGGGGAACCGTGACTCACGGTTCCCCAAACATGACACTTTTTATGGGACGGAGGGAGTAAGTTTGTATTGAATAGAAGAAATTGCATGATAAAATGTCAATGACAGGAAAATGAGAAAATATTTTTCATAGAGAGATGGTAATAAAATAGAAACTTGTGATGCAGGAGAGAAATGAGGGAGCTACCAAGTTGTTTTCTGGTGAATGCCAATAGAAACCTTGTAGAGCTGCTGGAAAGAGGTCACAAGCAGCCAAAATATAAATAATGAGAGCATTCTTTCCCATCCATTGCAATAGCTTCGTTGGCTTTTCAATATGTTTGACATCAACCTGCATCAAATACACTTGAAATAAACACACAAAACTTGATTTGAACCATTTATTTTTTTTTCCTTTGGTAAGAATTAATGCAAAATCTTAGTTTATGCTGAGTAGAATGACAATTTTTGCAACCACGGTAATTCTAATTCCACTTCCAATACATTTGCGTCCGAGTTTTGAGTTCGACCAAAAGTGGCCGGAAAGCTGTCTTGCTGCTATAGCACCAGTCCTTAAACCATAAAGCAGAAAAAGCTGATTGGATAACAATCTTGATATGTTTTCTTTCCTTTCTCAACAATCTTGATATGTATTCTTTCCTTTCTCCCCCCCTGCCACCTCCAAAAAAAAACAAAGTAGCAGCATAGAATTCCCACATCCTTTTATTTATATTTACATTTGTATTAGAAAGAAATGATAATACCATGGTTTTATATTAAAAACCAAATTTTGTGATTTGTTAAATTTCATGGCAGAAGCAGCTTAACACTTAAATAAGAGTTATTGACCTACTTACGTTAGAAATGTACTGTGTTGTTAAAACTATAAAGAAAGCACAAAAATATGATTGAATATAAGATACTTCAGCATGGATAAAAGAAAATGTCTTCTATTTTTCCTCCAAAGTAATAGCATCTTCATTAGAAAAAGTGTGAGACTCCATTTAACATCTTTTTATGACTGGTTCGTTGAGAAGCTCAAGTTTATGAAAGAAATACAAAAAGATTAATTTAGACACTCAAATAAATCAGATATTTCTTGATTAGTGAAAGAAATAACCACGTAGAAGTCTTATTATTACGAAAAATACTAGTGTGTAAAAGAATGAGCTTACGATGTAAAAGATAATGGTTAAGAGGAATCCTGATGTTCCTGCCGTGATGCACATATAGCTCAATGTGTACAGTGGTTTGGAAAAAGGAACACCTAAACGGTCAAGCGCACAACGTAGCCATTGTTTAGAGGAGAGCAAATGAAACTTTGTAAGATATTATACTGCAAAATAGATGCTGACATAAAACAGTATACCTAGGACATTTAAGACATATCCCAAGATCAGTAGAGGAAAGGAAGACAGAGACCATAAAAACACCCTCTGCATGTTGCCCTGCAGTGAAAAGAACAAAATTAATAAACTCAAGATTAGGTGCCATTGGTTGATGCAATGTACAATTTCTGGGCTGTCAAGACTCATGAGTGAGAATGCTAATGTCAAATCTAGTCTGCCCTCTCAACACTCTGCATTGGCTACGCCAACACTAGGTAATGACCTTTAAGAAAAGACTTGAGAAGCAATTCCTGTTATAGAATATGTTAAGCGAAAAGAAAGAATTATAATACCTTAAAATGAAGAGCAATGTGTCCATATTGCAGTCCCACAAAACATGTAATGGCCGCCATCAACGAACTAGAGAATTTTTTAAAAAAGAAATGAGAAATTTCATAAGAGAACCTAGCTATGAGATTATAGAAACAATATTTTTTGAGACTAACTCTGCCTGTGTACATCAGGAAACAGAGGAAAATGCTTTTAAGTGTACCTTGATTATCCTAGATAACAATACAATAAACTAATATCAAGTTTAATAACCCACAAAAATCTTAGGAAAGGAGAAGCATGCCACTTCAGTAAATAAGACAATGTGTGCACATTAGATATTAATCCCCCAAAAAGGAATGGTCAATACTAATAATATGATTTGTCACTCTACATAGACTCACTTTATCTTACAATGCAAGACCTAGAGTGGGCTTTCTGTAGAGTGGCATGAGGTACAAGTTTAATGATCACTTTGTTACTAAAATCGATTAGTTATTACTCATTAGTGTACCTAAAGAGGATGACTTTTGTTATTTGTATTTTGTCTCGTTGAACAAACCCACTCAAACATATTAAATGGGAGAATAGAGGGGGTGGATAAGTATGCAGATGTACATGTGACCACGGAAATGATGTAAATGTGTAAAGGGATCGTGAAAGCTTCTACAGAATTCATGAAGTAAATGTGCTTTATGTGGGAGATAAACGTAGGTGTTTTTCTGGCATAAATCATAATAGAGAATTAGCCACTTAGGATGAAGATCCCAGAATCTTCTACTTTGCAGTATGTTCATATAACAGCTGACAGAGACAGACATCATCCATTACATCAAACGTTAATGTTGGTACTGTGATCTAGTTAATTTGAACATTACATGATAGGGAAATGAACTCGCTTAATGACATTTCTGAAATGTTCTATTGTCGGACTGAGATGGACATCATCCATTACATCAAACGTTAATGTTGGTACTGTGATCTTGTTTATTTTGAACATTACATGATAGGAAAATGAACATGCTTAATGTCATTTCTGAAATGTTCAATTGTCGGATAGAGACGGACATCATCCATTACATCAAACATTAATGTTGGTACCGTGATCTTCTTTATTTTGAACATTACATGATAGGGAAATCAACGTTCTTAATGTCATTTCTGAAATGTTCTATTGTCGGATTATAAGGATTGAGGTAGATTATTTACAAGGACCAAATACCTGCCCCATTGTGCATATAAAGTTGGCTTCTAATATTTTATCAGACCCCCATGGTGCCAACTATTAATAAATCTGGAATTGGAGTTGTAAATTGTAAACTTCTAAGCACACTTCAGCTCCTAAAACTGATTCCACTTGCCCAAAACACCACCTCATTTTGACATGTGTTTACTTTTTCCAGCCTCCAAGCTTACATTTTTCAAAATTTATAGTTTCAATGTCTATCAAATCAACGATAAAAAGCTTGAATTATCTTTCTCTAATATGATCACACATAGATGAAAGTATATAATCAATACACTAGCAAAGTCATGGAAAACAACTTGCAAATGTCATGGAAAAAACCTAATAGTATGCCTTAGATTTCTTACATTGACGAATTAATATACCATTCAAGATTCATTGTGGCCCTTAGATGAATAAGTAACAATGACAACATTCAAGATTTGTGGTGGATCATTATGGCATAAATTGATTCCCTCTAGTCAAACGGAGCAGGAAACATGTCAGATATAGTGGCAAGGTACATTTGTAGTTAGCTTCTCAATGCTAGTGGAGTAGAGCAGCAAAGCAATGGTCTTTCACAGCTTGTTCCCTAAGGCAAATTAATGGGAATTTCAAAGAAAAAATAGAACCATATTTCATGTTGAAGTCAGCTAAAAGGAGTATATAGTCAAGATAAAGGCCTTGGTTTTTGATTATCCACCTACTTGGGAAGCACCAAATAGATGGTATACAGCTGAAATACCTAGTACTGAGACAGATGAAAACCCACTCTCTTATTCTTTAAGGATTTTTCACTCTTACAAATAAAAATACAAAAAATAATAATAGTTGACAACATGGAAATATCAAGAGATTCAGGAAGAAAAAAAAAGGAAATATCAAGAGAAAAAAAAAGGCAGACAGTTAGCAGACCTTAAGATGCCCTCTGGATCAAATGGAGCAAGGCACCACTGAGGTGAAGTTGGTGGTAGAGGTCCATAATCAGGAGAATTGACACTGCATTCCTATAAACATGAGGAAGGTCACCTATACAAAGAACAGCAAAAGAGTTTTAAGATTTAAATACAGAAAAGACAGCAGTCATCAGAGAAGATTTTGAGCACCTTTGTTCTTCTGTACACAGGATGTTGATAAAGATGATGTTCACCAAGAAAATATCGATCAATTAAGCCTACTGCATTACAAGGAGGTTCAAGACTGCCCCTCACTCCACATTGCACCTAGTAAACAAGTTGATGGAGGAGAATTAGTTCTCTACACTGAAGCAGAAAATTTTAGTACAAAATGGGGAAGAAATTAAAAAAAATGAAAAGAAAGAAGCCTCAAATGACAAAATAATATGTTGAAATAAAACTTAACCAAAAATAAATAAATTTAACCAAACATTTGCAGATCAACAATAAAAAAGAAGCAACCTCCCAATTTCAGAAAAGGATTATCTAATACACAGGATGCAATGATTTTTCAGTACCAGTTTAACACAACAGGATACATCTAAAAATGTAAGTTACGCACTGAAACTATGTCTTCATAAGGTCCTTAAACTTAAGACTTGAGAATTCTTATCCAAAATGTAACTTGACATTCTAATAATTGTAAACCAGGAGTCAAACATTGGAATAAACTAACAACACCTCATAGCATCTTTAACATGAATCATATCACCACTTACAAAGGCAGAACTTCGATTTTGCTCACATAGCCAAATTGTCACAACCAATTTCACCTCATCTCAGAATCTCAAATGGTGCTAGCTCTTAAGTCTCTATCAATGATCCACAACCCCTCTACACAGGCAGAGCCAGGAATTTATCCCTAGGAGGCCAATATATATGTATACTATACAGAAAATATTGGATCAATAGAACAGATAGGCATAGAAAGTACTAGTGGGTCATTTTCAGTTGCAAGCCTCGCGTTAATGTCAGTGGTAAAGGATTATACACTAACAAATTTCTAGCGGTAGGTGTCAATTTCTGCACAACACTATATTATATGAAAGTTATTTCAATTTTAATATAAACAAAAACTTGCAAGGTTATGTAAAATTCATCATCAACAAAATTTATACTAGATACAAAAACAATTAAGACAATTTAACCAAATATTCAATAAAAAAAAGAAAAGAAGAAAGAGAACAGCAGACATTCTCCTTATAAATTTTATTTTCTTCACAGCAAAGTTACATAAAATTCTCAATTTCTCATGCATGGACACAATGTTGGGTTGTCATTTGAACTTTATAAGGTTGTGCCTAGTATGCAAAATTTAAAAAAAAAAAAATTTTTTGGGGGGGGGGGGGAGGATGTGGGGGGTGTAATACCTCATGTAGGGCTTTTAAAATATCAGGAAAGCCATGGCTATCCTTAGCCCTAACATAGATCAATCCCTGACTTTTCATCATTATGTAATGGACACCATGTTTCTTCACTTGATACAGCTGTTTTATTAAAACAAGTTATACCAGGGTGATAGCAACCAGAAACTTACTTACGCATTTCAAGAAACTAGAGGGAAAACAAACACAATTACACATTTTTTTCTTGAAATTTCTAACAAAAGTTTTTACATTGTTCTATTCATACTAGTCTCCACACATAATGTTTTTCAACTTACATAACGGAACAAACATTTTCTATGCACATTATGTGTGTACGTGTATATATATATATATATATATATATTCTCCTTAAAGAAAGATATTCATAATAATTTGTTCTTAATTTTCCTTAAATTGTTCTTAACCAACGCCACATAGAGAGACAAATAAGCACAATGGTGCTTTCCTTGCCTCTTTTATTTAGGGGTCATTTGTTGTCTTTCTTTCAAGCTCCTTCAAACAATCAAAGCAAATGCTAAATTGTCACCTACAGGGTGAGGAGTTAAAGGTTCACCCAACTGTTGTGTGATAAAACATATCGCTCCATTTCTTAGTTTGTTTGCAATCCAGGGGCCAAAAATCTTTCCAAAAGTGGGCAACTGTCAGCGGCAGAGCCAGGATGTTGTTGAAGAAGGAAAATTAATGGACACAAACTTGGAAAAAATAAATCTTTTGTTTTGTTAGTTAGCAATATTTAAATATATTGTAGCTAAGAGAAAAGAGCTATTAAAAAAGTAAAATTAATCATTCAACCTAACAGTAAGTATTATGATGTGTAACACTATTTATAATCATTATACAATTTACTTTAACATAAAAAATGGCTATAAAGTTGCTGTGATTTTGAACTCAAATGTGCTGGACAATGTTAAATTTATTGGCATGTGTAAGCCATCTAGTCACTGAGGAGTTAAATAAAGTTGAATACACCAATCATGTGCAACCATAATAATTCCCTCATCTCATTGCAAGAAACCAATCACATGCACCCAAAATACTCCCCTCAAGATTGATAAGGAGCTATATCATCATCATCATCATCCTTGCCTTATTCCCATATGAATGGGGTCAAACAATAAGGAGCTATATATGATTGGGGTAAATTTATATAGTCAATGTAATATAAGGCATTCAGTACGTGATTATCCCTTCAATTCAACGAAGCCTATTCCCAGAAAACGACAATTAAAATAGTCATATCAAATATCAACCCATTGTGAAGTGCGGAGTGAAATCAAGATGAAAGGAACAAAAAGTGTGAGAGAGAGAAGTCTTTTAATTTTATGAGGTCCAGGGAGCTTCCAACCTGTACATGTACAAAGGAGCACATAAAACAAAACATAGTACGCATTACACAATTACATAAATACATTTATAATTGATATTCTATATGTTTAAACTCACAATTTGAGTACCAGAATCATATCCTGACATTGATGAGGTCACGTTCACATTAGGAACTTCAAATTCCCAATTCGGAACATAAAGACCATACAGCAAGCCCATGTAAACTGAGCCTAGAATAATAGCAACCATCCTGCACATTAAGGAAGGATTACACTTTGCACATGAGAATACTATAAGCAAGAAAGAAAAATATTCTGTATACAAATTTCATCATTTCAGATCAATCAACAATGACTGATGAAAAGTACATGGTTTTTATTTTATGCCTAGATCTCATATTGACCTATCAGCTAAAATGATATGCTTAGCCCCTGAATGGTAAATAAATTCCTGCAATTATCTGAATCAATAAATTTAGGTTGAGGCTCTAACAAAGGAAGAAAGAAAATATGTGAATATATTAATCACACAATTAGTTGGTTGAGAATTTGTCTATTAGTTAACATCATTTGGTTTAAGAAATGAGTTTTTATTTTATTTTATTCTTTTCCCTGTTTTTCCCACAATCTAACAAATGATGTAAACTTCAAAAGAGCATGGTTTGAATTTGTGGTTCATAAAGAATATTACACGGAATGAAAGAGAACAGACAACAAAAATAACTAACAATTATAAAATAAAGTAAATTGCCTCAGTGAGAAAAATGAGCTCTGACTAACGTCACTAACCTAGTTAAATGTCTCCTGGTTCAGGATGGAAAGCAGCTTAAAGTAACTGATAATTTTAAGGGGTGGAGTGGATACAAACATAACGTTTGGCATTGTTTGCACAACGGGTTGCTCTCAGGATACTCTTTACGGTCCGAACATTTTACCAATGCACCAAGCAGTGACAGCTTGATGAACTTATCAATATTTAATTAAAATCCTCACAGAAGAAAATGCTTATACTTGCTAAAAACTGTGTACTGATTAATGGATGACTTCCTAAAAGAACCAATGAACCATTATCAAAGTAGATGGGAGTTAGAAAACTTCTGAAAACTTTAGTCTACCAACTTCCAATGTGCATTTCCCATCATCGGAAGCACACGAGCAATATAATTCTCCTACGGCACATGGTTCAATTAGTTTTCATTTAGACACATCCCAACATTCCCACTAAGAAAAGCTCTCTCACCGAGCTTCTGTTCAGGTTTCTGATAGTCCCCAAACCGTTAAATCGTATCACATTTTCCATGGTTGTCTTATAATGCATCATGCTTCCGTTTCTAATGTCATCAAACCTTCATGCATCTTGACCTGGTACAGTGGTTGCAAACTTGAACAAAACAAAAGATGAAATATAGACATAGGATTTGTAGGCTAGAATCGTTAATAAATAGTTATATCTAAAATTGAACACTCAAAAGGAGTCTGACTTCCATGTGCATTCGGATCTCAAAAGTCAAAGGACAAATTAAAAACAATAAGATAAGGTAAGATTGAATATGAATGACTTGAGAATTCTAAACGATAAAACTTACCACTGCAAGTAGTATTTCTTCATAAATGTAAGTGTTGAGTCAACCACAATATTGTTAACAAGCCAGATCTCGAGAACTGAAGCGAACAGATATCCAATTGAAATCCTCTGTATATTACAAAAGCGCAGATAATGATGAAGTATCCAGCACTGGTTAACATGCATAAATATAAACAAATTTATATATGGAACAACAAACTCTTTTAATTACAACTTAGAAGTCAGAACATGTTGTATCAATAACATAAAAAGACAATACCCATTGTATCATCTGATATTCATATCTTGATCAGATGATACTTGATGTTGTCTTGTTTCTCTGTAATGATGCATCCTTACAAATAATTAGGCATGCACTTAGAAGTCAGGACATGTTGTATCATTCAATGACCAGAAAGATCACAATAAAATCTATGAGGTCTTGTCACTTGTTTGCTAAGTTATAGTCTTAAATCACATCTCTAGAAATAATTAATCAATTTGTAAATGCTTATAAAAATTTAGAACTTTAGGAAATTTTTTTTTTTTTTGATAAGTAGAACTTTAGGAAATTTAACACTAGAACATCGACATTATTATACAAGCTCTTAGAATACGACTTCAGGTAATTTCATTTTATCTTTGTTCACTTAAAATTTCTTATTTTAGCAATTTATCCCTCAAAAATAACATCTAGTGCAAATATAAGAATTATTGCAAACTATACTAATCATTTTGAGAACTAAATATAAGACACAGACAAATGAAATCTCTGAGTTGAGGTTATGGTCTTGCTTCTAACCAAGGCTTTCAATTGTCGTCTAGAAGTTGATGGTTTTTTTTTCTTTTTTCCTAAATGGGTTTGTGTATTGAGAATAAACAATGAAGTACAAGAATTAAAGTGGGGGCATACCCAGCAGTCTAGAAGTTGGTGGTTACTTGGCAACTCCAAGAAGGACTTTTTTGTCAATTCCCATTAATAAATCTAAGCAGCTCAAGTAAATTCTCCCCAATCATCTCAAAAAAAATTGAATAGATTTCACATCTTCAATGCCGAAGATCAAAGAGAGAAAGAAAAGAGGGAGCTTTTCTCATAGGAAGATCAGTTCTGGATCTAGTATGTGATGCATATATGGTACAAACTTAATAGACCCATGTTAGCATGTTTTTAGGTTATGTATCTACATTGAGCACTCTAGTACATTTTAGCACAACTACTTGACTGACAGGAATTAAGCTGAAAATAATTTTCAGGTTCAAATGAATTTTCTTTACTTCTTACTTCAATAGCACACATGGCAACTTGATGGTGTTAGCTGACAGGTGGAAAGCCCTTCAAGCACCATGCATCAATGTGCAATGCTACTTAAAAGTGACATGCTGGCTAAGTAAATCAAGTGACACATTAGGTACTTACTGAAATTTTCCCAAACAGTGGTCTCCTTTGCTCTTTATGCCCACCTGAGGTTAGAGGCAGGGCCAGGTGAAACATTCCCTGAGGAACCAGTTCAGTGACCATGGTCCTACATCATACCACCAGATTTTAGGAACCGGTTCAGTGCCCATGTCCTACATCATACCACCAGATTCGGAATGTCCAAAGGCCCTTGGTTAGGTGGCTAGATTAGGGGCAAACTGATGTGGCCCCCTGTTCCATGCTTGTCAAATTATCCCCAAAAGAGTGGGGAACAATTTAGCCAGTTTGGAAGAGAGCAAGGGCTCTCAGGTCTCAAGTACACATGGTGCTCAGCTAGTTGCATAGGCCCTACTGGGATGACACCTGACAGCACCATGGTTGGATCCACGCTAATATGGCCCACTTCCTCAGTTTCAAGATCCTATAAATTCATCTAATGGTCCTATTTTAATGGACTAAGGTTGGAAAACGAAACCATGCATGCTCCAAGAGCTGTGGAAAGCATTCTTTTGGCTGGAATTCATGACCCCTTGGCCTGAGCGATAGCCTTAACACTCTCCACCACTATTCAGGCTGCTGGACTCTCACTCGAACTTGGTCTACCTAATTGTCTATTACAATGCCCACCTCCCAGAGCAAAGACCCCATCTCACAAAACATCTATTGTGCATCAGAATATTTCTTTTAGTCACACATCGTGACATCAGAGGATAAGAAAAGGCAAAAAACAAGCATGCTTAAATCCAAGCCCTCATATTACAGGTATGCAGCATGACACAAGACTGCAACAGCCATAGCAGCTACTAGTTATTAACTAAACCAAGTATTCCAAACTACTAGTGATCAACAGGCTCAAAAGCACAAGCATTGTAATATTAGGAATACTAACGAAATCAGAAACTGCATAACAATCACCCAAAAGAAAAAATAAGAAAATATAAAAGATAAAAAATAATAATAAATAAAAATCAGACAACAAACTATATGAATAAAATTGTAACATCTGAATAGAAATTGATACAGCCTGAAAATTACCTGTAGCACACCAAGCCAGCGTATGTTGCCAATATCAACACCATAAGTTAAATGGTTGCGTCCATGAAAATACCCACCTAAAAGTACATTTCAAAAGAGTTCACAATTTACAATAGTATCAGATCAGAGATCATATGTGCATTTAAAGTTGAATGATTCATTAATGCCTTTAAACTGTCCTCACTATCAAATTTCAGTTAGCTGCTAAATAACAATGCAAAATCATAACATCAAATGCTTCCTATTTCAATAGTCTTGGTGATGTTATGTCATCCTTCCTCATTTCTGATTGCCTATAAAAAATTTATTATCTATGAATTAAATTCACCATCTTTGTTATTAATTCACAACATATCAAAGATGAATTAATAAAATTAAATATTTAAACTGGCCTGCTATGTGTAGAGGTGTGCAGAAAATTGCTATGCACCCGCAGCCCCTTCTCAAATGCACATTTGTGGGAGGGAGGCTACCTATGCAGAAAATTTGGTTATGGAAATGGCAGACTCCTATATATATAGATATAGATATAATGATATATATATATATATATAGGGGAGGTTGTGGAATTTGTAGATACTTTGAGTGGTTAGGGACCTTATTTGGCCTTGCTTTTGTATAAGGGGTGCACTCCCCAGTTGAGTGTGCCTTTCTATGATAAAACTCTCACTTCAGGACTCTATATAAGGCGGGACAACAACATACCTTGGAGTAGCAGCCCGAAGATGAAGAGTTTAACTGTTCTCAGCATGACCTTTTTCGTTGCTGCCGGTTTACTAGATATTTTCTGCATGATGAAACAAGTAACAAACCATGACTACAGCACACTAAAAGGATACATTAAGCTTACTCTGGACATTCATTTAGTCTTTCTTCTTTTTCTTTTTTCTTTTTCTTTTTTTTTTTGTAAAAAAAAAAAAAAAAAAAGCATTTCTTTGCAAAACCAACAAAAATAGTGGCAACAAATAAAGTTAAAAAAGCAACAACATGTTCACCCAATATTTGATTCTTAAAAACAAGGTAAAAGTAATTCTGCAACAGAAAGGTAATGGTATACCTTGAATACCAAACTGATGGCAACACCAACAACAAAGAGGAAAAACGGCATCACAAAGTCTGCAAGCGTCACACCAAACCATGGAGAGTGATTTATTGACGGGAAAGCTCCTCCAGCATCATCTACTAAAATCATCAGCTGTCAACAAAACTACACAAACTCAGAATAAGGAAGAAAAGAATGCAATGCTCACAAAGAAAGAACTTGACGCAAGTTGGAATAATAAGGCACCCAGTTGAGATTATGTTTGGTTGCCGAGAAATCAATAGAAAAAGAGTTCCAAAACAAAGGCACCCAATTGAGATTATGTTTGGTTGCCGAGAAATCGGTGGAAAAATAGACGGGGAGAGAGGAAATTTGATGTGTTTGCCCCATTTTTATGCAGTATCTTGCAGAGAAAGAAAAGAAATAAGCTCTCCCTCCAATTCAAATGCAGGGTTAGACTCTAAACTATCGAACTCGAATTTCGGAATCTAAAAATCAATCAGAAAGAATTCAATGATAATTTCGTTATCAAAAGGTGATGAAATTTGGAAAGGACTTACAGCGACAGTGAGGCCTCTGAAGACGTCGAGAGAGACGAGCCGTTGATCGGGACTGATTGAATTAGGTCTGGATCCATCTGGTTCGTTCGACGACGGTGATGAAGGAACAATCTCTTCCTCTCTAACAATGGAATCACCGTTCGCAACGAGAGGTGATGGGTTCTGGAGAAGAGGTGTTCGTTCCTGGGCGTCATCTGTAACCACCACCACCACCGACGACATTTTCTCTCTCTTCTCTGTCTCTCCTTCTTGCCTCGCTTGATTCTAACTCTGAATTTTCCACCATACCGGGAGAGAAGGCTCTATATGGGGTTGGGGCGTATTTGGGTTCGTTTGTCAACCATATCAGTCGAGTTTGAGTTTGAGTTTGAGTTGAAATTAATCTTCTTAATTCTCGTAAATAGAATCATACAAGAGAAGTGGCTGTGATATAAGTTACAAAATAATAATTTTTTTTCTTTTTTCTTTTTTCTTTTTAACTTCAACTTCTAATTTATAGGAGTATAATTTTAGTATAAGAATTCTAAATTAATTAAAACAATTATTATTGTCCTCCTCAATAGACACTTAAATGAAAATTTTAAAAACTGCGCTGAAATTTTCAATAATAGTGATTAAGTTTTAAGTGTTATCTTAAAATGTTGGGAGACACATTTATTTTTAATAATTATTTAATTTATTCAGTTTTAACTGCTGAATCATGTTATTAACAGCACTAGGTCGGTGATTTGATTTTTCTATTTTTAGGCTTTGTTGTTGGTTCTCCAAAAATATGACACTTAAATAATAAATTTATTTATTTATTTATTCGTGCCACCGGAGTGTTCCAGATGGTACGAACCCTTAGGTCTCAACAACTCGACTAATTTTTGAAAATTTGGAAGGACACCTCCCCATCTTGGTCGGGTAATTCTCGATGGCTGCCTACGAGTGATGGTCTGGTTAAATGTAATGTTGCTGCGTCTTTTCTCTCTTCATCCCAAGTGGGGGTGGTGGCGTTGTCTTTCGCAATTCGTTGGGCCATATTTTGCAAGCGGTGATTTTTTCTCTCTTTTTTGCTGGAAGTGCAACTGTTGCTGAAGCTGTCTATCTTTGCAAAGTAGTTATTTGGGCTCTATCATCTTCACTCGTTCAAATGTGGTTTGAATGCAATTCTTTAGGTGTAGTTCAAGCTGTCAAGGGAGTTGCACTTGGGCTGACTGATATTCATCTAATTTGCTTTGATATTCAGGTGGCGTTTTGGTGATTTTCTTTCTCTCATCTTTGCCACGTCCGTAGAAATGGCAACGAGGTTGCTAACGCTCTGACGAAGCCCTCACATCCATACGGATACTGTTCTTGGTTTTATCCCTGTTGATATTCTTCACTTAGTGGCCAAAGATAGTTGTTGATGTTTGTTGTTTCTGTTTGCAAGGATAAATAAAAATAATAATAATAATAATAATAATAATAATAATAAATCAACAAGAAAAAAAGATGAATAAAAAAGAGTCACAAAACTCTGTGAGAGCGTGTATTTGAATAGATAAAAAGGTGGCCAAGGATAGTTGTTTTTTTTTTTTTTTTTGTTAAAAGGCCAAGGATAGTTGACGTTTGTTCTGTGGTTGTTTCTGTTTGCAAAGATAAATAAAAAAATAAAAAAAATAAACAAGAAAAAAAAGATGAATAAAAAAGAGTCACAAAACTCTGATTTGAATAGATAAAAAGGTGGTTGTCGAATTCGGAGCGGCTCATAAAGGCGTTAATGGGCTTGCGAGTAATAACCGGCCCGTTACCCTTCCACCGACAGGAGCGGGTAAGTGTTCGCTGCAACCAGCCTCACGCAGTACCCTCCAACTCTAGGAGCCCAGAGCGATGGGCCTTCGCCTCTAACTCAATGCCTAACTCCTTTCTTGAACAGGACGAGCCAGTATATAAACTCAACCGAGCCCTACCATCTGAACCAGACCAATCTCCAGCCACCTTTATGCCCTCACTTAAGTAACAGGCCGGGGTTTGTTAGTGACCTTCATGATCAATTATATATCTTGAAATTCTTCACTTCTTGAGCGATGTGGGATGGAGAAGTTGAGCATTACCTCAGTGCTACATGAGAATAGGAAAAAATTGGAAACTCAGTTTAGCTTCATTTCTTTTCTAGTTTCATATCACCAGCCATTTTCAAGTTCTGTCTTTTCCACTGTGCATCATATTTGGATAGAAATTTAGGATTAACAGACATTTACGACATTGCTCTTTTTCTTTCTTGATTTGGTTTGGTCGGAAATGACTTTATTTTTCAGCCCTTATATTGGAACATTTTACATGGTCGATTCTGGTTTACTAGTATCACAGTCAATATATATACTTAAATTTGCAAATCCTCCGCGTTCCACGAACAAAATTAAACATGACTAGGGCAGGCAATATGTAGGAGAGGGCTAGGTTGGGCCAATGTCACACCTACCCTGAAAACAATGTGTATAAAGTTTTGATTCATTCGAAAAAAATGACCAAATGCAATGCTCAAAGCTTACCAACAAAGATTGGTAGGTGCCTTACTTCAGAACAACTTTCTTTACAGCATCAAGATGATTGATTAAAACTATTTCCAGAAGCCCTATGCATAAATTAAACCTCTTTGTTTACAGAAGATTCAAAGAATATTAATTTCCGGAAATAAAAAAGATCAAGGAAAGAATCAGAGGTTAAGTCACAGTTTCAATGAAGAAATTTACTAGTGTCACTTCAAATGGAAGGTGAAGGTGATATATTGACTTTATATTCCCAAATTTTGAAACTTTTGTCCCTTCAGAGACCTCTGTTAGAATTGTGATACGTGCCCACATTATATCTAAAATGGATTTCTGCAATATGCTCTACAATAGGCCATTACAAAACATCTCAGTAATTAGATGTCATTCTTCATTCAACATCCCGAAACTTACTGAAAAATCAGAAATTCAACTCATCCAACATTTGAGTTTGATTGCATATGCAAATTATACAAAGAAGAAAACTAAAGATGAAGATACACTACATTACAGATTCCAGAAGAGGGGCAAAAAAGGGATTTTCTTTTTGGAGATGTGGGGGGTAAAAATACGTTTCTCCGAATCATAAAAAAAATAATAGCCTATTAGTACAGGAGCTGAAGTGATCGTTTCATGATCTTGATTTCACGTTGAAAGCTTACCTGTAGTTGAAAGCTTACCCTATGTTTTGCAAGTGAGTATTATGTTAACACCTAAAATATAATTCGAGGCAATCATGCCACGTGGTCAGAAATTACAAGGTCCGATCATCAGGGCGAAAGATTAATTTCTAATCATGGTGATCCGATTTAAGGCTGAGAATGAAGAAGAGTGGAATTTTTAGGCCATTAAGACTGATATGAGGTTTTGAGCTCATAACAGGCTATGATTGAGAGTCTCAGTCACTATGGTTATGACTCTCAGTTACTATGGTCATGATCATGAGTCTTAGGCCAAACCTTCTCAGTCACTATGGTTATGAGAGTCTCAGTCATCTTGATCATGAGAGTCTCAGTCATCATGATCATGAGAGTCTTAGGCCAAAGCCTTCTCAGTCATTTTGGTCATGAGAGTCTCAGTCTCATGGTCATGAGTCTTAGGCCAAAATACTCTCAGTCACAACTTTCTCAATCACAATGGTCATGGTCAGGAGACCCTCAGTTATAATGGTCACAATCCAAAGTCTCTCCAAAGACTCATAACCAGCCATGATCAAGAGTCTCGATCGTTATTTCTCTCGGTCACAATGATCATAAGACTCTCGGTCATAATGGTCATGATCATGAATCTTAACCAAGATTTCTAGTCACTATGGCCATGATCAAGACTTATGACCAAATATGGTCATGATCAGGGGTCTCGGGTCATTATCACTTGAGGAATCTTTGGGTAATTCAAATGAAGACCGGTTGTGAATCCCAATGTTTCAAGAACCCAACAAGTCAGGTCTAGAAGTTTGAAGAAAGCTTGAAATAGAAAAGGACAACTTGACAATGTCAGAAGTTCAGAACTACAGATGGAAGGTTCTCACCAACATCTGATGAGGGAAGTCAGGATTGTCAGTAATCAGATGACTCTAGGCTAATGTACAAATCAAGCCAGACATGACAGGTGCAGAGAGCTGAAAATGGCTTGAAGACCAAAATCATCAAGCATGAAAGAATAGGCACCATTTAGTCAAAAATACCATGTCAGACATACTTGTATCTGCCTATAGAGGGATGTGCAAGTTAGTCAACCTTTCCAGCTGGTGGTTAGGAAAAGTCACTTTCAGCTTACAACCAATCAATTTCTAGAGAAACGGTTGAAAGGGACAACACCAGGTGGAAGCCTCTATAAATACCCACTCAAGCATCACAAGGAAGAGGTCCAAGACCATTTCTGAAGTTCAACCTTTAGCATTCCTATCATTTAGCACTTAGCTTTTATTTCATCAAGCTCAGTTTAGCACTTAGCTTTTATTTCAGCAAGTTTAGCTTAACACTATTAGTTTAGTACTTAGTTCATCTTCCAGTATTTAATACTTTAGTTTCCATTTCAATCAAGAGTTTGTAATTCATTCATCATTGTAATCAGTCAAGTTCAACGAAGAAAGGTTTGCAGATTCAGGTATATTTATTGTCCAGTTAAGTTGCTTCTAATTCATGTTTATCTTGAGTGTTTAAAGTCCTTTCTTAAAGGCAATAGCAACCTTAAGTAGAGGGTCATTCCTACTCTCCAACTTTCGCCTGAATCACCTTAGGTCGGTGACCCGACCCGATAGGAATAGTTTGGCAAGAAATATTCGAGTCCATCAGGACTCTGGCACGCCCGCGTTCTAGGTCAGCCGTTCATTGGCTAGCGACCTCAGACCACTTTGTGAGCCAAACAACTTTGGCACGCCCGGTGGGACTTGTGTTTTATTTGTGAATGGTCGTCGAGACTAGGTCACAGACTCAGACTTCAGCTGGACAAGCTAACCCTCAAAGGGAAGATCAGGAAGAAAATCAGCCTGCTCCCATCATGCAAGATTCTGGGTCTGAGCATGAAGAGGGACATCAGGCCAGCCACCAAATGGCGGCCGAAAGTGTCAGCAATATGGTGACACGATTTGAAAATAGAGTGGAGGCTTCCCAACGCCAAGTCGCTTGGGAAATCAACAAAAATATGGAGCCATTGGTGGCTTCATCCCACATGACTAATACTCAGCTCCAACAGCTGAATGAGGTGATTAATGTCTTAGTGAATCGTATTGATAGGCAGGTTATTGCTCAGCCGCCTAGGTTAGAAAACCAGAATGATAGACCCGTGGACCAGTTTCTTCCTCAACAAGTTGGTCAACCAGAAAGAGGTGCCCAGCCACATCCTATGGTTAATGGTCCTCGACCAGTAGCTCCAATTCCACCACAAGTCCATCCAGTAGAGCAAGGAGTGAATGGTCACCAACAACCAAGATGGAGGAATCATGACCAACCTAATGGTCGACCTCCTCATTTTCAACCTCAAGTCTTGCCACCTAAGGCTGCGAACCCAGGGGGGCAAGAGGGACATAACCCTTGGCCCAATGTCCCTTTTCAGAACCAAGTCCCACCTATGGTCATGACTAGGGAGCAATTGTCTGAGGTCATACAAGAACAGTATGGACCAGCTTTAAAAAGGGCTACTCGACCTACTTTTAGGCACCCATTTCCTGACTGGATAGATCGGATGGATCTTCCCCAAAATTTTCGGGTGCCAAACTTTGCAACTTTCTCAGGAGAAGGCAACCAATCGACTCTTGAGCACATTGGCCGTTTCACATTAAAATGCGGGCCACTCAGCAACAACGATTGGTATAAAATGAAGCTATTCTCTAACACCCTCACTGAGACTGCCTTCAAGTGGTATCTAAACTTGCCACCAAATTCCATCCACACTTGGCAACAGATGCAGGATGTGTTCCATGATCAGTTCTATAGGACAGAACCAGAAGTCTCTATGTCTGACCTATCTAGGATCCATCAGTTGCCAAATGAGGATGTTGAGACATTTTTGGCTAGGTTTAAGAAGGCACGAAATAGGTGCCAACTTACTTTGCCTGAAGAAGAATTTGTCAACTTGGCCCTTAGCGGTTTAGACTTTGAATTACGAAAGAAGTTCGAGGGTACTCATTTTGGAGATTTGTTCCAATTAGCCGATAGGGTTACCAAGTATGAAAAAATCTTACGAGAGGAAAACGAGAGGAAAAACTCCTCTCGGGGGACCTATTATAAGGACCCTAATTATGAAATACACATGGTTGATACAGTATATGATGACCTAGAGGTCGATGCTGTTGAAATTGTTTCAAAAAAAACCATATGTATGTAAAGCTTTAGCTAAGCCCTTAGAGACTGTTAGCGGTGTTCAACCCTCATCATCTTCAGCCAAAAGGAATATCTTTGAGGCTGGCAAACAATATGCTTTCGATATAAGTAAAGCAGAGCAAATCTTTGACCACCTGTTGTCTGATAAAATTATCAAAGTCACTGGGGTACATAAAATACCTTCAGCTGATGAAATCAAGGGTCGAGAGTATTGCAAATATCATAACTCCTGGAATCATGCAACTAATAATTGTGTTGTCTTTCGTAATGTGATTCAGGCACAGATCGAGAAGGGGGCATGGAAGTTCCCGGAGAAGAAGAAAGAGGTGATGAGTGTTGACAGTGATCCATTCCCAGCCTTGGTCAGCAGTAACATGGTCGAAATCTCAATGGCCAGCAGGCCACGGAGAAGAATTGATTTTGAGGATACTTCAGCTAACAGAGAAAGCAAGGCTGAAGGAAAGAAGCCGATGGTTAAGGAAACTCAAAGGTCTAAGGATAACTTAGAAAAGGAGTTGCGGGAGGCTCAACTGGCGCTAATCAAGTAAGGATTATGCCCTAAATGCAAGATAGACATTGAAAGGGACCGAGAGAGGTTCCACAGCGACACTCGGGGACGTCCTGGAAGTTCACGTCATGAAGACAGACCTAGGTCACCCTCGTTTAGGGTGTCTGTGATAAGTCGATTAACATGGCCTGATAGAAGGTCTAATACCAATGAGCATCACAAGCGAAGGCGAGAAGTGAACTCCAACAGTCGGTCAAGGAATCTTACTCATGCTGTCTGGAAGCCGAGGGAGCATAACTCAAATGTGGCTCGCCAGGCTGAGACATCGGTTAACCACCCAAACCATAGGCAAAGGATGGTCAAGCCACCAGTCACTGACGACGGTCGATGGTCAAGGGTGAGTCATCCAAAGTTCTCTAGGGTCAGGGATATCCCGCCAGCATTCATGACTCGCACTCAAGTAAGATGGTGGCAGCGGATGAAAACTGAGTTAAAGAGAATGGAAGAAAAATATTCAGCTCCACAGCCAGGGAAGGTGACTTTGCTTAGGAGAGAACCTATCAAGCAAGATTCAAAAAGTGATCCGAAAGGAAAATCCAAGGAAGATAGTGCAGACGGAAATGGATGCACTGAAGAGAAATGTGCGTCTTCCTCCATGAAAGAAGCTGAAGATGAAGCAGGATTTGGTGATGATGAACTCGACCTGGATAACCAGGATGATGGTTCAAAAGGTATCAAATTCGGTTCATTTGAAGGAATTATGAATTGCAATATGGTTCTTACCTTGCCTCATATTTTTGAGGCTAAACCTGATCAACCCTCCGCTATGGAAGGAGATGTCGAGGTGATCGATGATGAAGGTCAGGAAGTTCCAGAGATTATTGAGAACCCATCTGAGTTGATCTCTGAAGATAAGAAACAGAAAGTCGCTGTGATAAGAGCTAAACCACGAGATGATGAGTCAGTAACTATTGGGAGAGATCAGGCGGCTAGGGTGATTTTTGAGAAGCCTTCTGCGGCAATGTCTCAACACCTGAAACCACTCTATATCAGAGTATTCCTAGAAGGGATGCCAGTGTCTCGGGCACTGATAGATAATGGATCTGCAGTTAATATCCTTCCGATGAACACCATGAGGTTGCTGCAAAAAATGGAAGATGACTTGATTCCCACTGACTTGACAGTCAGTAATTTCACAGGGGGCAGAGCCAGGACCAGAGGGGTAGTCACCTTGGAAATGACAGTTGGAAGATGTAAGACCATGACTGCATTCTTCGTGGTCGACGCAAGGGCGGCTTACAACGCTTTGATTGGGCGTGATTGGTTACACCCACATTTTTGCATTCCTTCTACCCTCCACCAGTTTATGATTTTCTGGGATGGGGATGAAATCCAAGTCATATGGGGAGATAATAAGCCTTTCGAAGCTCGGGTCCATGTGGCTGATGCAGTTTTATATGAGGTGGAAATGGGTCCTGTGAGGCTTATTGGTTGTGACAAGTATGGCAAGCCTGAGAAGGCGACGATGAGGAAAAATCTGACAGACGGGGACTTATCCGATTTATTCAAGGAACTATCGAGGCCAAGTGTTATCTGCGAGCCAAGGCCGATAGTTGAAGTTAATGAACAACAGGTTGTTAATGGACCAAGCCCAAAAGGAGAAGGAGAAAATGCTAGCATTTAAAGCTAGCATGGCACGGCTGAGAGCATATCTCGCTGAAAGACGGGCAATGTTGTGGAGTGATATGTCGGCCAATATGGCCAAAATCATAGAAGAAGGTGAGTCAGGGGATTGTCGAGATGTTATTCAGCTAGGAGAGCTAGATGCAGCTCCAGCTAAGTTAGAGGATCTGAAAGCCGATGTTCAGGATCCCTTGTTGGAGATCAATTTGGGAGCAGAAGAAGAGCCTCGGCCAACCTACATAAGTGATCTTCTAGAACCTAACTTTAAAGCTGAACTGATCTCGTTGCTTAGAGAATATAAGGATTGTTTTGCTTGGAATTACACTGAGATGCCAGGATTACCAAGGCAGCTAGTTGAGCATCGACTACCTATAAAAGAAGGTTTCAGACCGTTCAAGCAAGCGCCTAGACGTATGTCAACAGAAGTGACTATGAAAGTGAAGGAGGAAATTGAGAGGTTACTCAAAGCAGGATTCATCCGGACCACAAGGTATTGTGATTGGCTATCTAATATCGTTCCCATGGTTAAGAAGAATGGAAAGATTAGGGTGTGCGTAGACTTCAGGAATTTAAATTTAGCTACTCCAAAAGATGAGTATCCAATGCCCATGGCCGATCAATTGATTGATGCGGCCGCCAAGAATGAGATTCTGTCATTCATGGACGGTCACTCAGGATACAACCAGATATTCATAGCAGAGGATGATGTTAACAAGACGGCATTTAGATGTCCGGGAGCCATAGGCACTTTCGAATGGGTGGTGATGCCCTTTGGTTTGAAGAATGCCGGAGCCACTTATCAACGAGCTATGAATGCAATCTTCCATGACATGATTGGGAAATTTATGGAAATATATATTGACGACGTAGTGGTGAAATCAGCGACAAAGGCGAAACATCTGGCCGACTTGAGGAGATCATTTGAGAGAATGAGAACCCATGGTTTGAAGATGAACCCACTTAAATGCGCCTTTGGAGTGACAGCTAGGAATTTTCTAGGGTTCTTGGTGCATCGGAGGGGTATCGAGGTCGACAAGAATAAAGCTAGGTCAATCATCGAAGCTCAACCACCTCGCAACAAGAAGGAGTTACAAAGACTAATTGGTCAAATCACATACTTGGGAAGATTTATTTCAAATCGTGCTGGAAAGATCCATACCTTTTCTCCGCTCTTAAAGCTCAAATCAGAGGAAGACTTTCGATGGGAAAAGCATCACCAACATGTGTTTGAATCAATCAAGGAATATCTTGCTAACCCTCCTGTCCTTATGCCACCTAGGAAGAAACAGCCGCTGAAGTTATATATTTCAGCTGCGGATGAGTCAATCGGAAGTTTGTTAGCCCAGGATAACGAAGTAGGGAAAGAACAGGCGGTGTATTACCTTAGTCGTATTTTGACACCGGTTGAGCGTCGATATACGCCAATCGAAAAAATGTGTCTTGCTTTGTATTTTGCTGCTCACAAACTGAGAATATATATGCTACCTGTTTTAGTTTATGTGATTTGTGCCACTGACTTGATTAAGTATATGCTTTCTCGTCCAATAATTTCTGGACGAATAGGCAAGTGGTCCTTGGCCCTTATGGAATTCAGTTTCCAATATGTGCCTCAAAGGGCCGTAAAGGGCCAAGCACTTGCTGATTTCCTAGCTGACCATCCATGCTTGGATGTTGATCCGGGAGTTTATGATGCAATGGAGTTATGTGCTATTCAACTAACTCCTTGGACTCTAATTTTTGACGGATCCAGCGCAAATGATGTCGGGGGAGCTGGAGTTGTAATAATTGCACCAAATGGCAGGAAAACAACATATTCTTTCTTTCTAGATTTCAAATGTTCTAACAATCAAGCAGAATATGAAGCTCTGATTATTGGTCTTGAAATACTCTTAGAGATGGGGGCACAGACCGTTGAGATCATAGGTGATTCAAGTTTGGTGATCGGTCAGTTGTCCAGCAATTTCAGGTGCCAAAGTTGGCACCTCAAACCATTCCACTCTATAGCCATGCAATTACTACAAGAATTTGCAGAGGTAAAGGTCAAGCATGTTTATAGATTGCATAATAAAGAGGCCAATGATTTGGCTCAAATAGCATCTGGCGTTAGGGTGCCAGAAGGAATAATGGAGAATTTGATCAGAATAAAGAGAAGGTCATTACCCTCAGTTAAGGCGAGGGAAGAATTGTTGGCGGAGGTCTTTGCAATCGAGGTGGAAGACGATATGGAAGAGAATGATTGGAGAACACCGATCGTCGATTTTCTCAAAAATCCAGACCCTAAGGCTGACAAGAAGCTAAAGATCAAAGCTCTTAAGTTTGTGATGATTGATGGAGACCTATTCAGGAAAAGCATCAAAGATGACCTACTCCTAAGGTGTGTCAGTAAAAAAGAAGCCATGAAAGTAATGGGAGAGACCCATGAAGGGGTATGTGGTGCTCACCAAGCTGGAATAAAAATGAAGTGGCTGATTAGAAGGTACGCTTATTACTGGCCCGGGATGCTTAAAGACTGTATCACATACGCCAAAGGATGTCAAGCGTGTCAAAGGCATGGGCCAATCCATAGAGCCCCTGCGATTGAATTGCAACCAATCATAAAACCATGGCCTTTTAGAGGATGGGCTATGGATTTGATAGGGAAAGTTTATCCACTTTCTTCTAAACAACATTATTTTATCATTGTGGTAATTGACTACTTTACCAAGTGGGTCGAAGCGGTGCCCATGAAGTCAGTGCACCAAGAAGATGTGATTCGGTTTATCAAACAACATGTTATTCATAGATTTGGGATCCCAGAATCAATCACAACTGATCGAGGTTCAGCCCTTGTTGCCAAAGAAGTGCAGGCATTTGCAGCAGAGTACGGGATCAAGCTCCTAAACTCAACCCCTCACTTTGCACAAGGAAATGGTCAAGCCGAGTCGTCTAATAAGACGCTAAAAGGCATCATTGAAAAAATGGTGGAAGATAACCCTAGGGTGTGGCATGAACTGTTATCAGAAGCACTTTGGGCATATAGGACTTCTCAACGGTCAAGCACAGGTGTGACTCCATTCATGCTCACCTATGGTCATGATGCAGTTTTGCCTATGGAAGTGACTGTGCGGTCAATGAGATTCGCATTGCAAAACAATTTGACCCTTGCTGAATATAATGAGTCTATGTTGGTCGAATTGGAGGACCTAGACGAAGTAAGGTTAAGGGCTCTTAACCACATACAAGTTCAGAAGAGGCGAGTAGCAAGGGCATATAACAAGCGTGTTAGGGCCAAAATCTTCGGTGAAGGTGACTTGGTTTGGAAGACTGTCCTCCCAATGGGTGTGAATGATCGAAAATATGGAAAATGGTCACAAAATTGGGAAGGTCCATTTGTGGTTTACAAAGTCTTAAAAGGAGGCGCATATCATTTGCAAGATCTTGACGGGGAAATACACCCTCGACCAATTAATGGCCGATACTTAAAAACTTATTATCCTATAATGTGGGAGACAATGGAGAATAAAACCAAAGATGGTTAAATAACTAGAAGCCATAGAAACATGCATTTCATTCGTTGTTTTCATTGAGTACAAAAGTTTATAAGAGTCGTTACCTATCATTTTCTTTGCAGATAAACAAAATGACTCCTGAGCTCATCCCACCCTTTCTTAGACATGGCCATTTTTTCATCCTCTTTGGCCTTCTCAGCCCTCAGTTAAGGAATTTCTTTTCAGACCGATTCTCTCTGCTGATCAATTTCCACATTCTTTTGATAAATCTCCTTCATCTGAATAGCGAGTCCTTCTTTTGACCGGGCAGTTCCAGTCAACTCCATCTTGAGACGTTCTATCTCTCGTTCGATCTCTGCTGCTCTTTGGCTTTCCCTAACATGAGTTAATTTTAAGGTCCGAAAATGGGAAACATTGTCTTTCTCTTGTTGAATCAAAGATTCTTGCTCCTGCAGCTTTTCATGGATCGTAGACGACAGCTCACTAGCCTTCTGAGAGGAGAGCTGAAAATCAGAGACGAGAGTCGGGAATCGACTCTGGACAGATTGAAGATGGTTTATCTGTTCTTGATTTAAGTCATGATGATCTATCAAGATGGACATGGCATCAGTCACATCAGCAGCCAAACTTGGCATCTCAGAGAGGTCTCGGGACACGACGGCGACTAGTAATCTTTTTGCCCCCTCAATATCTGGTGGACGACTGGAAGACGTAGGCACAACAACTGGCTCACTCATCAAGGGATCTAGATCAAACCCAGCCACTATCTCAGAAAAGTAGGCATCAAAGTCATCGATCGTGCTATAAGTTTGAAGGGGCGGTTGGGACTGAGAATTTGAGCCAGCCTGCGAATGAAAGGAATTTGGTAAAACAAGTCAAGGCTTGAATGAGAGAATAAGTCATAAATACTCACACCAACTGGTGAAGGCCGAGTCACGTGGCCAAAGGTGCGTCTGGTAGCAAACGCTGGTGCAGAGTAAGGGCTTGGAACTCTTGGTTGTGTGCCCGGGGCAACCTGCAAGAGAAGAATGTTTCTGAATGCCTAACTTTGATAAAGACATATGGGAGATGTACTGAAAGATCATCTTGAAAATCACCTCAGCCCCATCAAACTGATGAAAGACAGTGTTTGGTTGAGTAGTGGCTTGTTGACACTCGACTCCACTAGTGCGAGGGTGATCAGCATTCGCAATGTCATCACAAATGTTGATCCTATCTCTTGACAACGACCTGTCCGAGTGTGAGGAAACCTGTCCATAAAGATGCCATTAGAATCGGCAAGGTACATTGGTACTGAAAGTAAAAACAAAGCATAGTTACCTCACGGCTGGTAGAGATATTTGTCTCAACTGAGAAAGTCGATGGCATCAAGGGATCAGGATTTTCTTCCTCCTCTTCATCGATCAGAGGTAAAGGGTTGGTGGTCCTAACTGAGGTAACCTGTTTTTTTCCTTTCCCTGCCCTGGTCACCTGGAATACCATTGAGGTTAAAAAAGAGGTATTAGGTGGTACATATAAGTAAGCTAAAGTTCTAAGAGATTATGCTTTGAAGAATTCATAAGGAAAACCTTAGGCCTCTTGGGGAGCACCACGTTTTCCCCGTTAGCCTCAGGCATTTCCGCCTCATGATCAGAAACTCCTAATGGGTCATAGAAGTCAACAGCTGCATAAAGGAAAAGATATTCTTATGATCCAAGGCATAGAACTTGGTATTTATATATATGTAAGTGTGAGTGTGTACCTTCTTTGGACGACTTTGATTTTTTCGTCCTACTGGGAGAACCAGGATTAGCTACACTGATCCCTTTTGATGGCTTGGTCGAGGCTCCTTGGGGTTTAATAAAAATGGAGGCAATCCTATTTGTTATAGTGCGAGAATCCTCCACCATAACCTCCGCAATATGGTTTCCCCACCAGTAGTCAAAGGATGGAGAAGTATTAGGATTTTCCAAAAATGGCTGCAAAGAGAACTTGTTACAGAGACGGTTAAACCGGGAGGATACTCTATCCACCGTTTCTTTTGAGGTGAAGACTACTCGTTCCAAGAAAGAAGTATTGAAAGATCGAAAAGGCGGAAGTGGAACGAGTTGGGTGAGACCAAATTGTCTAGCAAATTGTGGGGGATTATAATACTCCACCCCACACTTACTATTTGGAGAGCCCATTCTTGAACATCCATAGGAGATGTCCCTAGCAATCAAGAAACTGGCCCAGGTTTGTGTATGTTCGTCTTGGCAACTCGGTGGAGCCTGGGCAGGGGGATAGGAAAGCCACAAAGGTCGCCTCGGTCTAGGAGAGAATGGCAAGAAAAGATGACTGGCCCGGTATGCAGGGAGTTTGTAAAAAAAGGAGAACATGGTTTTGAACGATCTTTTTCCTGGTTGAATATGTGCATAATGATAGCTGGGAACAGGAACAACGGTCGACAAGTCGAGATCGGGGTAAAGCTCAGGGAAATATGCGTATTCCCAAAGTTGTAATAGCCAGAATGGCCCAAAACAGGTTTTGAAGTTGGAAGCAACATATTCCCCGATGCCACGGTAAAGATAAGAAAGCAAAAAAGGAGCGAGAACAAGTTTCTCGCCCGAGTGAAGAGCAAGGGCCAATTGAGTAAATTCCTTAGTGACTGTGAGCGAAGAAACGCAAAATAAGAACCTGTTCAGCCAGTACACCAAGAAAGAATTATGCTCAGCGATGGAAACCGAAGTTCCTTTACCTTTGCTGGCTTTAATAAAAGGGCCATGGGTAGTAATGCGCTCAGAAGCGTCAGGTTTCTTTGGATATTCATAAGTTACTTCAGGAACGGTGAGAAGTGAATTTATTTCTGTACCGTGAGGCCTGAGCCCGGTAAGAAAACAGATATCTTGCACCGTCGGGCCAATCATACCACACCGAAGATGAAAAGCATTGGTGGAACTCAACCAGAAAAAGAGTAATGAGACGAGAGCCTCCTTATCGATAGAGATTCGATTTTTTAAAAGAATGATGGCATCATAAATGCCGACCTCCTTCCATAATGCTCCGTAGTGAGGTTCAACCCGATCAACCCAATCAATCCAGTCACTTTGAGGTATCGGGCAATTTTTGAAAAGGTTGGAAGAATCCACAAGATTAGAGAACTCGCGCTGAAATGGGAGTTGCTCCTCAGCTAAAGGACAGTAGGGAAGAAGTGAGGTTGGTGGACTATCTCTGAAGGCTGGAGCAAAGCCGATTCTAGGTGAGGAGTCAGCACCTAGGACACTGGCTAACACTTCACTAGTGCTGAAAATATCGGTAGCAATGATCTCGTTGACGAGATTTTGAACAATCCCAGCCCGACTGGAAGATTTATTACTGGCCGGAATTGCCGTGTTCTCAGCGACAATCGTTGTGTTCTTATTACCACCCATTGGCTGAAGGCAAGGAAAGAATGAAATTAGAGAATAACCAGTGAAAAGGTTAATGGAAGCCAAAATTTTGGTTTACTGACGAAGAGGAAATTTCATTTCAAAATCTCACTGGTCCACTGGCCGGAGCCGATGTATTTGCGGCGGCAATTGTTGAATTTCTTTTGATTCCAGTTATCTAGAATCTGGCAAGAGGGGTGGCAGAAAAACGGGAGCCTGATTGAGTGCATAACAGATCAAAGTTTATTCAAGGTCAAATGAGCAACTCCTCTGATGGTGGGTTTTTTCTTCATCACCTCAAGGATTACAGAACTATCAGTGTCTCGCGAACAGATGTGCTCACTAAGAATTTGAGAAGAAAGAGGAACAATCGTTCTGTGGTGAAAGAATTTCTTATATACTGTGGAAGCTGTATTTGGATGAAATGGAGTAGCAATAATGAGTTTTTTTTTGAACTCATTAACATAAACTTATAATGGGAGCAGGTAGCCGGTGATAAATGAAAACTGTTGGGACAGTAATTGACAGTTAAATGACCGGTCACGTGGGAAATACAAGCTAAGTATTATTGGGACTTGAAGTTGTAGGCGTTGATGTTTGCCTATAGAGAAGTACGACAGCAGGGAAAGGGTTCCTAGCCACTCCAGCAATTTATTAGCTTCAACTGATAGAGCAGTTGTGCTTTGTACGGTATATATATACTTAATTTTGGTTTCAGAATAAAAAAATCAATACTCATATGAAGGTATTAATGTTAAGCACGTGGATTTGAGCAAACCACCATGTCTGCATTAGTCGCGTGTTGTACACAACTACATCCAAAAAGATATGCATCGAGCTCCCAAACAGCCAGCCGATTGAGATGAGACACCAAGGACCATTCACGTGCTCAAGTACATGATAGCACCTACCTCTGACTAGTAACTTAATTTAAAATATGGTCAACACCCATTAAAAAATGGGTTTGCTGGGCACATGATATTGCATCATGCATATGTGTTGTATAAAATAAAAATTTATACATATATGTATGTGTATATTTATGCTCATATTGCAGATGTATATATCTACAAAAAGCATAATAGCATTGAAAACGTACCCAGTTTCAACATGTCTCCCTCGAATCCGGCGAAAGCCGAACTACCACCGGTCGCCGTCCTCGCTTTGCAATCATTTTTGACGCCGGCGAAACTCTGTGATCAAGGCTCCGAAGTCCAGCTCAGTTAATGAAATGGGTCGCCGTCGCCGTCGCTGGAGGAGCTGCATGGCCGGAAGCTAGATCATGGTTCGGTCATGGGTTTATTTGTCATAGAGCTCGCCAATGTCACCAATGAGAATGGTTGTTGCGACAAGGAGTTCATGTTTCAGTCACTTCCATTTTGCCCACCCAAGTCGAGAGTTTCATCTGGAAATACACCAGTGCACCGTTTTCTCCATGATCGACGCCTATTTAGGGACAAACAAGTACACAGCTTGCAACCATCACCTGAGAGTTGTAGTTTTGCAAAATAGACCCATCACCGGCAAAGCACAGTCAACCACACAGTTTGCAGAGCTCGTCGTCGTCACCACAATATGAGCAAAGAACAACGGTGTGCATGGGTGGGTGTCATTTTGATCGGCGGCACCAGTTCGTAGTCACCACGTGGGTCAGTTTGAAGCTCACTGAAACCCAAAACCGCGAGGAGCCAGACAGGAAGGTTGGAAATGGTTTGAACGTGATTATCGCCATTTGCAGGTTTGATGACAACAAAGGTGGCTGCTGTAGTTATTATAACAGAAGATGGGCGATGACGGTGAGGGTGACAACGTTGTGCTTGCATGGAGACCTGCATGTTTTTCTCCGGCGGCGAATCTATCTGCAGCAGTGGGTTCAGCGGCAACGACATCATGAAGAAACCCACTAGTGTGATGCACTTCACGGCCAACACCGGTTTGGGGATGAATGGTCGAAGTCTTTTGGAGCGTGAGGACACCGGCAGCCCGTTTGTAATACAGACCCGTCGCCGGAGGAGTCCCTTATGCAGTTCCAGGAGGTTCGCCCACTTTTGGCTGGAATGAACTGCGTTTCTCGCCAGATTTAATGGCGTCAAAACTTACTGTTCTTTACCAACGTGTGGGACGATTAAAGTTCACCCAAAACCCAAAGCTATTGGGTATGATGATGGACGACGGCGTAAGTACCATCTCCGGCGGTGACGTCGCCAAAGAGAATGACGGCGTTGTATTTGCAATGGAGCTCACATGTTTTCCAGTACTGAGTCTATCCACGGTGATAGGTTCAGCAGCGGTGACTTCATGAATAAGATAACCGATGCGACGATCTCTTCTTGGCCGGCGACGGTCCATGGCAAACACGTTGCGATGCTTGGCAGTATGAACCATGAATCATGTTCATTCCTTGGTTGGTCAGTGCCCATTAAAAAATGGGTTTGCATGTTAATGGTTGGGTGGATGCTACAGCATCATGCATAGATCGGCTCACGCAGTTCCTAGAAGCTCGCCAACTTTTGGTCTTTCTTCACCAACGTTCTCAAAAGATCAGTTTTGAAACTTACCTAAAATGGCAAAGCCCAAAACTGTTAGGTACACGTACGGGTAATGGAAAATGGTGGGAGCATCGTCTCCGGTGACGTCGTCGCCGGTGGGGGTGACAATGTTGATGCTTGCAATGAAAACTTGCATGTTTCTTGGGCGGCAAGTATGATCCACACTTCGTCAAATTTCCTATGGGACTTGCTTTTATTTTGAGACAGACGTGAAGCTGCTGCATAGTTCATTTATCTCTCTCTTTTGGATTAAATGGATATTTTTGAAGCTTGAGCAGGTTGGATGCTTCAATATGGCCTAGGTACAAAGGGCCATTGTAAATAAGAAATGAAATTGTACACTTCTCTTTTCTTGTTAATATTTGGGTTTAATTATCCATACATTAAAGGCAAAATTAGCTTTGATTGGTCCCGGGCCGAACACAAAAAACTGGCCTAAATAAATACAACTCTACAAAAATTCGGTATGAACCCATTTTCATAGAGTTGGGGGGCAGTTGTTAACACCTAAAATATAATTCGAGGCAATCATGTCACGTGGTCAGAAATTACAAGGTCCGATCATCAGGGCGAAAGATTAATTTCTAATCATGGTGATCCGATTTAAGGCTGAGCATGAAGAAGAGTGGAATTTTTAGGCCATTAAGACTGATATGAGGTTTTGAGCTCATAACAGGCTATGATTGAGAGTCTCAGTCACTATGGTTATGACTCTCAGTTACTATGGTCATGATCATGAGTCTTAGGCCAAACCTTCTCAGTCACTATGGTTATGAGAGTCTCAGTCATCTTGATCATGAGAGTCTCAGTCATTATGATCATGAGAGTCTTAGGCCAAAGCCTTCTCAGTCATCTTGGTCATGAGAGTCTCAGTCTCATGGTCATAAGTTTTAGGTCAAAACCCTTCTCGGTCGCTATGGTTATGAGAGTCTCAGTCATCATGATCATGAGTCTTAGGCCAAAATACTCTCAGTCACAACTTTCTCAATCACAATGGTCATGGTCAGGAGACCCTCAGTTATAATGGTCACAATCCAAAGTCTCTCCAAAGACTCATAACCAGCCATGATCAAGAGTCTCGATCGTTATTTCTCTCGGTCACAATGATCATAAGACTCTCGGTCATAATGTCATGATCATGAATCTTAACCAAGATTTCTAGTCACTATGGCCATGATCAAGACTTATGACCAAATATGGTCATGATCAGGGGTCTCGGGTCATTATCACTTGAGGAATCTTTGGGGTAATTCAAATGAAGACCGGTTGTGAATCCCAATGTTTCAAGAACCCAACAAGTCAGGTCTAGAAGTTTGAAGAAAGCTTGAAATAGAAAAGGACAACTTGACAATGTCAGAAGTTCAGAACTACAGATGGAAGGTTCTCACCAACATCTGATGAGGGAAGTCAGGATTGTCAGTAATCAGATGACTCCAGGCTAATGTACAAATCAAGCCAGACATGACAGGTGCAGAGAGCTGAAAATGGCTTGAAGACCAAAATCATCAAGCATGAAAGAATAGGCACCATTTAGTCAAAAATACCATGTCAGACATACTTGTATCTGCCTATAGAGGGATGTGCAAGTTAGTCAACCTTTCCAGCTGGTGGTTAGGAAAAGTCACTTTCAGCTTACAACCAATCAATTTCTAGAGAAACGGTTGAAAGGGACAACACCAGGTGGAAGCCTCTATAAATACCCACTCAAGCATCATAAGGAAGAGGTCCAAGACCATTTCTGAAGTTCAACCTTTAGCATTCCTATCATTTAGCACTTAGCTTTTATTTCATCAAGCTCAGTTTAGCACTTAGCTTTTATTTCAGCAAGTTTAGCTTAACACTATCAGTTTAGTACTTAGTTCATCTTCCAGCATTTAATACTTTAGTTTCCATTTCAATCAAGAGTTTGTAATTCATTCATCATTGTAATCAGTCAAGTTCAACGAAGAAAGGTTTGCAGATTCAGGTATATTTATTGTCCAGTTAAGTTGCTTCTAATTCATGTTTATCTTGAGTGTTTAAAGTCCTTTCTTAAAGGCAATAGCAACCTTAAGGAGAGGGTCATTCCTACTCTCCAACTTTCGCCTGAATCACCTTAGGTCGGTGACCCGACCCGATAGGAATAGTTTGGCAAGAAATATTCGAGTCCATCAGGACTCTGGCACGCCCGCGTTCTAGGTCAGCCGTTCATTGGCTAGCGACCTCAGACCACTTTGTGAGCCAAACATATTAATGGTGATTGTAAGGGTCTCTATTCGATGAATGTGCATCAAACATTTGTATTGGTTAGACAGCACAAGTTTACTTTCCCATTGGTTAGATTTATTATTTATGTTAGGCATTTTTTGACTTTTCATTCTGTCAATACAAAATATTTCCAGGAGTGTCCTCAAATGGTGGTTATAAGTTTACGAGAAAGCTTTATTCATATTTCGTTTCGTACTCAGCAGCTTTGACTTGAAGTCTTGCCAAACTTGAGGTTGGATGACCTGACATGACGCTAGGGTTTTCTTTAGATTCTAGAATTGTATCTTTGAGGTCTGACGACTTTACATGAGAGTTGCACTTTCGAGATTTGATGACCTGACATGACGTCAAGATTTTCTTTGGACTTGAGAGTTGAAACTACACTTTATTTTGACTTTTCAAAGAGTTTCGTGACTGCTTTTTTGAATTATCTTGGTGCCATTTTGCCATTCCTCTTTTTTTGTTTTTTTGGTTGAATGTCTTGACAATACTTGCTCGACTTTTCAGTGCGACACCTACAATTGGTGATACGCCCCCTTAAAATAGTGCATACCATGTTTGTTCTGCGTGTGTGTTTGTGAGATGTATGGTCGGGTGTTTTTAGTACCAAAATATAACTCTGCATATCTGAAGATGCAAATTATTTAATTGTTTGCACATTGACTGGCATGCAGACTTACCCATATTCAAAATCATGCTTAAAATCATGTTTTTAGGCGTCTTCCACTCTTGAGTCCAACAATTTTTTTTTTTTTTGTAAGTGAGACTAAAATAAATAAAGGAAAAATAATTGCGCGGCATACCCCAAGAGACATTATGGGCCAGAAGCCCATAAGCCAGATAAAAAACAAAGACATAACAAAAAAAAAAAAAAAAAAAATGAAGCCCACATGATGGCCTAGAATTCATATTGTCAAAAATAATTGGCCCAATGTAGATACCACTTAATCCTCAAAACTCAAGATTCAAAATCATGCTTAATATGGTTTTGAGGTGTTTTTCATTCGAGTCTAACCGTTTAGCTTTCTCTCGTTGTCTACAGATTATTAGATAGTTTTGAATTATATGGTTCCATCAATTAAAACTCAACACATGAAAATTTAATACAATATTTATAAAAAAAAAAAAAAAATTGAACATGAATTTTTATTGAAGGAGTTTGAGTTTTGATTACAAAGAAATCTCATTGTTATGACAAAAAAACGCAAAGTAGTGATACTCACACCGAATACTTGCAGTAAATTATATAACCTAATAATTTTTAATAGGTTATTTATACCTAATACATATAAATACAACTAAGTAGATCCTTATTTGTTACATAATTGACCAATTAAAAAAGTAAGCCTAACAATTCCCTGCAAAAATCATTTTCCGAAAACATATTTTCAACCGTTGGATTGACAAGGTATTGAAACACCAAAACACACTTTATCCGGTAATGTGAACGTAAACAATGGTGAAAGGGTATATGTGTAATTCAAAAACCTATTGGATAAGCTTGAAAGTGCTAGGAAACTTCCTCTACCAATCGAGTGTTTCTCTTTAAAGAAGCAAGATGGTAGTTACATGCACAAGCCATGCACAGGACACTCCTTAAAAAAGTAGTTAGTTAGCTATGGCCACCATCTCTAGGGACAATTTGGTAGTACCAAAGACAGAGATGAAAGATATCCAAACATCTCTCAACAGTGAAGAGGACACCACCACAGTGGTGGACCATCGGTGGTGGAGATCGGCGGCCAAGTTCGAGGAATGTGCGAACTTCAATAAGCTGGAGATACCGAACATGTCGAAGATCACACCGAGGCTCAAACTTCTGAGAGAAATGGAGAGGTTGGTCTCACTTGGGGAGGAAGTTCTTGACCAACTCCGGCACAAGCTGTTCACGTACCGACCGGGGGACTTTTGGGTGCCCACCGGAGGTGTCAAGAAGGAGGAGATGGACATTCCTCGTGCGAATACCATTCTCTTGGTTGGTTTCCATAATTCTGGCAAGAGCTCACTTGTGAACCTCATGTACAGTGTTTTAGGGCGCTCTGGACTTGTACCATTTGCTCAAACCTCTTCAGGTTAGCTATGTTCAATTCTTGTGTTTGGCTTTGAAATGTTTAATCTGGAAATAGTGTTCAAAAACAGTGAAATCTTCTAAATTTGGTTCTTTTGTAGGTCTCCATGATCCTGAATTAGGAGTTCGATCATGAGCCTGTTTGGTTTGTTACTCAGAAATTCTCAAGAATTCACAAAACATAAAACTATTTTCAGATTACTATGAAATACGTACTTTCTTTGAAAACGTGCACTTTTTTTTTATAATTGAGCATTCAAAAAAAAGAATCGAACAGAGTTTTGTACAATTTTCTGATTCTGGTTTCGAGAATAAAAAACTATTTTCAACTGTTTTCTGAGTGACAATCCAAATTGACCCATAGTTTCTCTCTTTTTTGTTTTTCCTTTTCTTTTTCTTTTTTGTAAAATAAAAGCATGAAACATAGTTTGAACTCACAATTGAAAATTTTGATCTTAGAATACAGAAAAAGTGTGTTACTAGAAGCAATAAAAAACATTTTTTTATATTTACTTCAAAAACTTGAATGCAGGATTTAGTTATGACTATGATTGTACCACAGAAGTGATAATTTTTTTATCTAATATACTCTGTTTTATTATTATTATTTTTTCTGCCAGGATGTGCTTCTAACTGCACAACCTTGATCATGGAGGAACACAACGTGTTGCGATCGCTGAACAACGGGTTCTGCGTGTACGATACGAGGGGATTCGATTACGATCGGTTAGATGAGAGCCTCGAAGAATTGTCAGAATGGAAGAGCAATGGAGTTCACCATAAGCAGCTCTGCTTGAGAACAGGGGACCCTGTTCTGAGTGAAGATGAATTGGGGAGTCCTCAGCTGAGGTCTAGTTGGAAGTTTGTGAACAGAAGAGTGAATTGTGTGATGGTGGTGGTTAATGTTGCAGAGATCTATAAAGCTTTGAAAGCTGGTGACAAGAAGCCATTGGAGGCCATAAAACACCTCTTCTGCTCACCACCATTAAGAAATTCCAGTAAGTTATTTTTATTTTATTTTTTTCAAAAATTCAAACAAACGCGTACACAATATTGCCCGCAAAATTAGTAAGTTTGTTTTCACCTTTTCATCATATTTATTTTATTATTGTTATATATATATATATATATGTATATATATATTTTGAGGCATTCATTCAACATGTAACCTTCTGCACTATCACACCTATATATAGACAATAAAATATGGTAGTGATTTAATCATCATTCTATCATCCAAGAGTAAAAAGTATTGTTAATTTCTGAAATTATAGCATATAAAAACCAATTCCAAGGCCCTCCTTAAAAAGGATGAAAACAAATAGGTACATTTGCAGTTCAGGTCAGCTAATTGGAGAAGAGTTTTTTTTCGGAGAATAATTGGAGAAGAGTTTGAATCACAAAGCTGCTATGTGTCGTCTAAAAAGTTGACAATTCAATTCCAAAAATTCATTTCAAAGACAGACATAATTCTCTCATATTGGAAGCTAATAAATCTTTCTAGTTTTTCCTAAGTTGATAGAATTCCAAATTAAAATTTCCATATCACAGTGGTTTAGTGTAACAAGTCGGCGCTTGCCGCTAATCAAAAAGCTTAAGATATTAGATAGTACTGTATACTCACCCATTTATAGTCATTTTACTTCTCATTCAGATCCGACGTGGGACACCTTTAACATTCTCCCCCTCCCGAACTCACAACGTCCTAGTTGCAGTTGGACCACCTTGCCCACCCAGGGTGCAACTCAGACACTCACCTCTAACATTTTCCATCACCTGAACTCGCAACGCCCTTGTTGCGGTCGGGTCACCCTACCTACTCAGGGTGACAACTTAGACACTTCTGGACCGGACGCTTGACGTGGCATCAGATCAAGAACTAAGTCTGACTCTGATATCAATTATAACGGGTAGACACTTGCCCGCTGACCAAAAAACATAAATTATTGAGTAGTGCTATTTATTTTATACCAATTTCCCTTCTCATTCGGATCCAACGTGAGACTCCTCTAACACTTAGCATACAAATTGAGAGCCAAACTCTACTAGAAAATTATCTCAATACCATCTTAATACTACTCCATAACTCAAATGAAGGAACAATAAGCACAACAATAATGAGTAGTCATTTCATAGGAATGTAAATAAACTTGAAGAATAATGCTATAAATTTTTGGAGTACTTTCTGAAGTTAAGGTACTTTGGTCATTCAATTTTACATTTTTATGCTTCATACAATGATTGTGCCATTTTAGGTCCTTGGTCAATGCAATGATCAATAACTAAACTTTCTAAATTAATCCATGCATTAAATAAGATAAAACAAGCTAAATAAGTTAAAACTGGGCACTTATCTGCTCCAACTGTACGTGCCTGCAGATGAGAACCCCATCTTGATACTAACACATGGTGACAAGTTATCGACGGAGGACAGAATCGATAGCCGGCTCAAAATCTGTGAACATCTCGGTGTTTCAGAGAGCAATGGAGTGTATGACATTGTCTGCTTCACCGAGTATGGGTTCCTTGCTGATGAATCAGATCCTGTTACGACTTACGCCCTAACAGAAGCAGTTTACCGGGCAATGCTCATCTCAGACAGGGGACACCTTCCTAAAAGAAACCTTAAGGACTGGGCAGTGCTCTTGTTGTCATGGCTCATGTGTTTTGTTGGTGCTATCTTTGCTTTTCTTGGCCAGTTCTTCTCTACACTGGGTCAGAGGGATTTGCCCAAATTGTAACAGTGTGTGTGAGTGGTGTATTTGGAGTAATAAGTGGCATTTGTGGTCGTGTACAATAGTGATTTGCTTCTACACTATATGTTATGTTTCATTTGAGCTTTGGGGATCGATTTGCTAGTCCACTGACTTTATATATATATATATAATCTAGTTGATGACTGTTGGAACTTGGATGTGATCAAGGTAGTTATAATCGATGCATATTATTCATGGTCATGCACTTTTTGATCTTGACATCATAACAGAGTAATCTTACCGTTAAGTCATGCCCCCTTATCGTTATTTATTTTCGTTAAGTATTCAAGTTTTTATTTTTTCCCAAAAAATGAAAAAATCACTAGCTCACTGGTGTGTGTCCCTTCTGTACAACTTTGATGAATTACTAAATTCATCTGATTATGTTTTTATTAGATAATATGTAGTTTTATCAATAATAAAACTTGTTGGGATTTGTGTCTCAAGTTCTTAATTATGTTTCTATTTTAGAGTTGTTGAGACTTGTGAATTTGAGAGAGATGTAGTCTCCTGAGGGAGATGATGGGTAGATGAAATATGCAGGTTGGTAGAGTAGGAAAAACACTGATAGCATTGGTAGCGAAAACATATGCTCGTAGAGTAGTACATGGTGAGAAGACATGTACGTGGTGTTGGTATCCTATTATTGTAATATTTTTATGAATTATAGTGAAATCTCTTCTCATCCATGGAAGTAGGTCGGTTTTGGCTTAACCATGTATATCTTGTGTTTTTGTGTAATTGCTTTGTTGGCTTTCATTGGATTTATGTATCCATGCGCTTCTGTTGCTTCAACAAAACTAAGTTCTTAAGCAATTATTTTCTTGAAATTTCTGAAATAACTGTTTCGATGCCGGTACCTCTAGGATGAGATTGCCAATTTATTTATTATTTATCCTGCCAATAATAGTTAATTGGGAGAGGGGGGCCCTAACCTAGAATCAATAGGGTGGGGGCACTCTAGGCCTGACCTTTTGAAAATTGGATGATACCCCCACACCTGAAATTTCCAATTTCTTTGTAGGACAGAGATTTGAATATAATAAACCCCTTTCTTTGCAGGAACATTATAAATATAATAATTATTGTTGGAAAATTTAACCAAATACATGAACCAACTTAAGTGTGGAATACATGAATTAACCAACTCATATGTGGAATACATGAATTGTCTCATTGGGAGATGAAACACTTGTGTTAAAGTTAGTGTTTTATTTATTGTCTTGTATTTTGTGTCTTTTTAGAGTCATGTAATGGTGCCTATAAATACATGTTCTTGAATTCTTTTGTAAGTAAGAAGTGAGAAAGAATATATCATAATTTGTGAGTTTTATATACAAGTTGTGTGTATTTTCCTTCTTCATATTGAATGCCTCCTATAAATTGGCATCAGAACAAAATAATATCTGAATCGTGAATGATTCTATGAATCCGAAAGTTGGAATGGTGTAGGGATTTTGAAGCGTGAAGCAAAATAATATCTGGCTCGTGAAAAATCAATTCAAAGAAGATTCAAGGAGCTGATTTTGGCCCCGAAAAATGAATGAAAAATTAGTTCTCTCAAATTATGCATATTGGAGCAATATAATTTCTATTTATCTTAAAGCATTTGATTTATGGCGCGATGTCATAAAAAATTCAAAAAGTTGTCAGCAAAACAAAGTTCCGGAAAAGAAAGAAGAAGTGGTACTCAAGATATTGAAGAATGCAATTCATGAAGAAGTTTGGAACACATGTTGAAAATTTGAATTCTCCAAGTCAGATATAGCAAAAGCTTGAATTTATGTCTTCATCTAATTATAAATTCAAATTAGTATCCACTGAATATTGGTTCCCAAATTACAATGAAGATGGATTTTTTGAAAAAATTCTTTGCGAAGATGAAAATGAAGAAAATTTTGATGAGATGGAAGAAAAAGAAGATTTAGAAAAAGTAGAATTTGATGAGAAAATTAAGTAGAAAGATGGAAGATGAGAAAATTTTGGAAGTGGAGTTTAAAATAGAAGTAAAAGGAGTTAATGGTGATGAAGAAAAACTTTTGAGAGAAGAAAGAGGGAAAAAAAAGAATAAGTAAATACTAATGGTGAAGTACTCAAAGAGGTAGAACTCGAAAAAAATCAACTTAAAGAAGGTAGGAAAGAAATAAATAGTGAAGTGTTCACAAAAGAAGAAATTATCAGAGTTGAATTTGGTGGAGGAATTGAAAATCTTGATGAAGAAAACAAAAGGTTTGAAATTCCACATGAAGTAATATATTCAATTTCTAAAGAAAATGAGTATGTTCAATTGGATGATTTTATTGTTGAAGAAAACTTGAGGAATTTTTCTATACGATATTTCTCAAGTGATACAATATGGGTGAACATGGAAACATTATTTAATTCAAGTAAGCAAGTCATCAGTAAATTCATGAAGTTTGTAAATTTCAAGCCAAGCTTAAGAACCATAGTGGAGATCAACTTCTAGTTTGGGTGAAGAAAAAGAATATATAGACTCGTGAAGAAGACAAGATGCAAAGTTTGCACAGCAAAGGAGATTGCAAAAAATATTTTTGCATTTGAAAGCATTGAAAATTTGATGTACTTAACAGCTAAAAGGCCGAATATAATGTTTGTTGTAAGTTTGGGTAGCTGATTCATGGAGAAACCACATTCAAGTCATTAGGAGGCTGCAAAAATAATTTTGAAGTATATAAAAGAAACCATTGATTATGGTATTTTTTCTCAAGCAAATGTTCTGGTTAAACTTGTTGGCTACACGAATAATGACTTGGCGTGAAGTATTGATGATAGTAAGAGTACATCCGGCTATGTCTTTAATCTTGGAAGCGGTGCAATTTCATGGAGTTCAAAGAAGCAAACTATTGTGGCTCTTTCTACAATGGAAGCGGAGTATATTGTTGTCTCACTTGCCGATTGTCAAATCATTTGGTTGCAAGGTATTTTGGAAAATCTCAAGTACAAGCAAAAAGGGCCAATTTGCAACAACATTATTTTTTGACAATAGTTCAACTATCTCTGTTACAAAAGACCCAGTTCTATATGGAAGGACAAAGCATATTCTCATCCGTTATCATTTCTTAAGGGAGCTTGTCAATGAAGGAATAATTCAAGTAATATTGCAAGACGGATGAACAATTGGTAGATTTATTCACAAAGCCCCTTGGTGGATTTTTATTCAAAAAGAATCTTGCAAAGTTGGGAATGAAAAACAAATTTGGTTTATGGGAGGCATTGTTAGAAAATTAAACCAAATATATGAACCAACTCAAGTGTAGAATACATGAACCAACTCATATGTGGAATACATGAACTATTTCAATGGTATCTATAAATACATGTCCTTAAATTCTTTTATAAGTAAGGAGTGAGAAAAAATATATTCAAATTTGTAAGTTCTATATAAAAATTATGTATGTTCTTCTTTTTCATATTGAGTGCCTCCTATAATTATAAATAATTAGATATTACTTAATAAACTTAGTTAACAGAGGGTTTAACTCCGAACGAATATGTTGTGTCCTCCTCCTACTAATGTTTGGTATGCATGGGCCGTGTTGAATCTTGTTGCAACTTTATCTCCGTAGTTGCATTATAAATTGCCCCTACACTTTCTTTTGTCATTATAAATTGCAACTTTACTCCTTGCAGATGTCTCAATAGTCTAGTAATTAGTATTTTCAGTAAATTTGGGGAATACTAATCTAACTTCTAAACCTTCTTATCGTTAAAAATAATAATAATAATAATAATAATAATAATAATAATACCCCAAGAACCTTTATTCTGGTTGGTAAGAGAAATAATATTGAGAAACAGCTAGAATCTTGAGACGTGAGAAGCTGTTAATATATATATATATATAGAACTATTTTATTATATTAACAGCTTCTCACTTCTCAAGATTCTAGCTGTTTCTCAATATTATTTCTCTTACCAACCATAATAAAGGTTCTTGGGGTATTATTATTATTATTATTATTATTATTTTTAACGATAAGAAGGTTTAGAAGTTAGATTAGTATACCCAAAATTCACTGAAAATACTAATTACTAGACTATTGAGACATCTGCAAAGAGTTACCACATACCAGCTACTCATCCTTCCCATCATTTGCAATTCTATATTTGCTTATTTATTTATTTATCTATTATTATTATTATTATTATTACATATTTATTTTTTTGGTGTGACTAGAGGATTTTCTCTCTCTTTTGGTGAGACTACTCCTTTTTACTGCTTCTGTTCTTGATACGTGGATATACTCAATGCATAATAAATTTTAATTCAAGAAAAATTTCTCTAGGGTTAGACTTGATGGAAGCCATTGAACTTAAATCCTCCATTTTATTATTATTATATATATTATTTAACCAAAAGGCAAAAACTTCTTCCATCTTTTAGGTATTATTTTTTACCAACTTTCCTACTATCTTGAGGTTTATTTGCATTGAGTATTAGTCCATAATTTTTCAGTCAATCAAAATATTTACTTACTCTCTAATATATATATATATATAGAGAGAGAGAGAGAGAGATCCGTCTACTTTTGAATTTAAACAGATTTTACATCTACCCAAATTTGACAAATTGTAACTCTACAAATAAAAAAAAAAAAGGGCGGAAAACAAGACACGTAAGGTAGAATAATGAGACACGTAGGATAAATGAAGCTTCTATAACGGACGTGTGTCTTCCTTGAATCATGAGGTGGCATTAGGCGTCTTCCTGGAGCTTCTGAAGGATTCTAGAAGAAGGTCAAGAAGCCACTGGAAACTACTGCCACGTACACAAACCCACTCTCTCTCACTTATCCCCTTATATTTTGTTCTTTTGAAGAAGAATTATAGTAGAGTATTTCTCATTAATTTACATCGATAGATCAATTATTAGTTGGAAATTAATAAAAGAAATGCAATCAAGATTAGCAGCAACCGTTTGGAGATCAAGTACTCGACTCCTCATTTCTGAGTCCCCAACTAGTCCACGAAAATTTGCCTCACCACCAATCCCAACTCGTCTCCCAGCTGATCCTGCCATTTATTCTGGTGACCCTCAAGTAAGCAACAATACATATATTTTTACACACACATATATGTAAGGGTTTGTTAGTATATATGAATATCTTAGGTCTTGTTTTACTTACAAATAAATAATATTCAGGTTTTATTATGTGTAGTTTTTTTTTTTTAAATAGTTCTTATTTCTTCTCTATAACATAAAAAAGAAAAAGAAAATTAAAAAAAAAAAAAGCAAAATGAAATTCTTTAAAATTAAGTATTTTTTAAGGTAACGCGCGCGTGTGTGTATATATATATAAAACAGTTCTATATATTCTTCGAATTGAAACAAATTAGAGTTATATATGTCCATTTGCTCCCATGGTCATTTTTGTTAAGAAGGGTATTTTTAATATTTTATTTATATATATATATATATATATATATATATATATGTGTGTGTGTGTGATTTTTTTTTTTTTTTTAAAGGGTAAATGTTAGGGGTTAGTTAGGTGCCGAGTCTCGAACGTGTACGCTCCAACGGGAGACATCTTACCAGCTAGGCTAGAAGATTTTGTCTGTGATTTTTAGCTTGGTTAAACAATTTTCAATCTATTTGGTTTTTCAATGAATCTAAAACCAAAAAATAAAAAATCAGTATATATATTGTTTTTATTTAGTTGGTGACAAACTCGCACACCTAATATCAAACAGCTAGGGTTTTAGTTGAGTTTTAGTTAGATTTTTAGTCAGTGTGATTGGGATGATGGTGGATGTGAAATTCAAACTCAAATCTTCGATGTTAAATGTGATGTTTGACATTAGAAATCACAATCTCACAAAAATTGACACTCATGATTGGGGCATAAGTTACAGGTACAGCTTGTTGCTCTTGATATATTAGGGCATGGGCTGATACATACATATTGACATTATTGCAGGGCAAAGAGGGTGTAAAGGCTCAATGTGAAGAGAAGAAAGAAATAGAGCGCAAACTCCGCAAAGAATTAAACGACCCATATGTCCCACCAAAACCACCACACTCACCATCTCCAAAGCTAAAGCACACTGAGCTGAACCAACCCATAGATCCAACCACCCAACAAAAGCGCCGCAACACCACCACTAGCAGTGCCAACACAGGCCAGCTCCAAGACATGAGCTGCACGGGTTTCTTCCCGTGGGTAGAGGACAGAGAGGAGCAGGGGAGGGAACAAGAGGAGGATGACAAGGAGTACTTTAAGCACCACAAAGCATCGCCGTTGTCGGAGATAGAGTTGGTGGACACGAGGAAGCCGGTCAGTCGGGCCATGGACGGGTTTGCAGATTATTACTACAGAGGAGAACGTGTGGTGCTGTGGAGGCCGGAGCAGCTTGACACTGCTGAGGAGGCGCTCATGAGGGCTACTCAGATATGGAAGCAGAATGCAATGAGGGGTGATCCGGATTCTCCACATGGTAGGGTTCTCAGAGCCCTTCGTGGTGAAGATTGGTGATATATATATATATATATATATATTCTACTGAGTTTGGAGTGGGGCTTTACTGATTTAATTATCGAGGGTGGTTGTAAAGTGCTCCTCGATTCAAACAGTCCTCAAAGCTGCATCATTGTACCATTCAAAAAAAAGCTGCATCATTGCCATTTGGGAAGATATTAACTTTCTGCTTTTTCAGTTCAAATGGGCATCCTTGAATTGGGTTGGTAGAAATGCTAATTCTGTTGCTCATGTATTGAGTCACTTAGATTTAAAAGAGAAGAGTGATATAATATTTGATCTTGCTATTCGTGATTCAAGAAGCAGTCTTGGTGGACTACCAAAATATGTATTGTGTTTTCCTTTGAATCAATGAAATCATCTTTTTTGCCTTTGAAAAAAAATATATATACATATATATTCTACTGAGTTTTTTTCTTTTTCTGAATTGCTGATCTTCTTGTACCATAGAATGTAATACATCTATGGCTCCCTGATTCCTTCTTGTGTTTAGTTGTACCAGTAGAATGCGTATGAATGATGAGATGATTGTTGTTATTGAGTGTATTTATTTAGAACAGGTAAAAGGACTTCCATGCCCCTCGGGTGATAACTTCTATATCGGTCTTGTTAGTCACTGGTTAGTATTAATTTGTTATATTATGTATTCCCTCCGTCCTTATTATGGGACAAAATGAGTAATCGATACTATTGAGTAATATAAAATATTTATGAGGAATAAAAAATTAAAGAATTCTATTATATGGGTAGAAGCTTAAGTAGTAGGTTTATTTGGGGAATATGGTTATAGATTATAGGGCTGGCAATTGGGTTGATAATAAATGAGGGAGTGAGTGAGGTTAATTAATTTATTATCACTTCTTTTAAGGTTATTTAATTTATTATCATTTCATTTATGATTTATCATAAAATGGACGAGTCATTTACATCTAATTTGAATATTTTTAAACATAAATTATTAAATTATTTTGGTTGTGAAATATTTAAAATATATATATATATATATAATAAAAATATTATGGCAGCAGTTTTTTTATTCATTTTTTGGTCTCTTTTGTTTAAAACTATACGAAAAAAACAAAACAAAAGCTCCTTCACAGATTTACAGTATCAACCATGGATTTAGAAAACAAAGATCTAAAGAATCACAAACATCAAGCACTCCGATACCATTAATATGCTTATTCAATGAGCCAAAGGCTTCTTGTCTTTGCACTAATTAATTAAATAAATTAGATAAAAAATATCCCTAGAAGAAGTCATAGTTGCTTGAAGGAGCAATTAAATTTGAACCCCAACATAGCCTGAAGTATACAAAAAGTGGTGGCATAAACAAAAAGTAGTAATTGAAGGGACGAAAACAGGAAATTAAGGAAACCGCAAATGATATATCAGTGGCTTAATTCATGAGAGAGTAGCTATATAGCAAGTAGTAATTCAATCATCAGTGGTATTCTCCTAGTACAAGCAAAAGGTGCCATCCAATACAAGGTTGAATCCTTAGCTATAATTTTCATGGCCATAGGAGGACACTCGATCCACTCACCGGGATGAAGAGTGTCGATGCGATACACCTGGTTGGTGCGGAGGTCGTCATAAGTACTGTCAGGTGGGTCTATGAATATATGGGTCAAAGGGAATTAAGTTACCATCCTCGTCGTGATTTCTGTCGGAGAGATCATAGCCACCAATAACGTATATCAACGACCCCAAGCCCACAACACAGGCGCCGCTCGCTGGAAGCGAATTTATAATTCGGCTGCATATCGGAGATGACAGGATACAGAAATTCTTTTGGCTTTGTGTGGTTGTTGTTTACGAACCAGCGGTATACAAAGTCGTCATTCATTCTTGCGCTAATGTATATGTGGAATGGGTATGGATCTTCTTCTTCTTCTTTTATTCCTTCTCCAACAGAAACAACATTGTCGGTGTCCATCTTCGTCATCCATTAAAATTCTCTTCTCCTCCGTGCCCCTGCGTCGTTCCTCTTCCTTCCTTCTTCACCTTACACCACCTACTAACTCCACCACAAAACTAAAGAGGAGACGATTGAGGTTAGGGTTTTCATCTTATTCCTTGAGAGCAATCCAACGGCTGAGATCTATTATGTAAGCTTATGGGCTTCTGCCTATTGGGATATTGATTGGACCTAATGGAACAACATGGCCTAGAATTTAAATATACACTATAAAATTTTCAAGTGTAATGGGCTATTTAAGTAGACCAGTTTGGCCTCATTTGTTAAACGGGTCTTAAAGGTTAAAATTGTTTGAGTTTGACTCGTTTATCTAAAAATAAATCTTGAACAAAAGCTACTCATGCATAAATATTTGCGACTCTACATATGTTTTGTGACGGCCTAAGTATTATAAACCCATTGCTTTCGTGATGACCAAAAGTTGATCCGAAAATGGATCCGAAATGTGGAAACGAAATAAGTAAAATGGCCTCTAGAGATGTACGTCATTCATAAGGCATCAAAATGACCCCCCATGAAGCCACGGAACTCAAATGAGTCAAGTACTGAAGCAAGGATTTCAAACCAGATAAGAAATAAACCAAGGGTAAAATGGTTATTTCAAACTGAAATGGGTGCCACCGTGCACACCATTGGAAAGATAATGAAAAATGAATGAAGTTAGACTCAAGAATCGCCTGATTCGGACTCCGAACGGAAATGATATGAAAATAGAACAAAGTAGCATCCTCCGTTTAAGAGATACCACGACCCTATCTCACTAACATTATAATAACTCTCACTACGGTTGGAGTTTTGGTGTGTGGTTAGTACCATTGGAAAGCTAACTTCAAGTTCTTGACTTTAGACTCAAGAATGACCTGATTTGGATTTAAAACGAGTCAGATATGACCCTCTGAAGTTGGTGTAAGAAAGCTATCTAAGAAAAACTGAAAAGGGAAGGCTCTAGGGAGGATCAGCCGACCGAAACTCAATCATCAGCCGGTTGATGGCAAGGATTAGCTGGCCGAAATGACCTTTTACACTTACAAACTCACTAGAATTGGTCTCGAATGGCTGTCAGCCGGCTGATATCAGTTGTCAGCCGACCGATGCACCTGATATCAGTAAAATTTGCTACTGTCAAGTGTGTGGAAGGTGATCGATCCAAGTCTAATGCTATTCATGCATCCCATATGCCTCGAAACGAGTTTAAAAACATTCCTTAGCCTCATACAAACATACATAACATGCTAGATAAAAAGGGAACTTCAAATCAAACTCCAATGCATGAATTTTGCATAAAAAATCATAAATCATCCAAAAATAGTTCTAAAGTCGAAACTTAAGAGTTTTGTGAGATGTGAATATACACGCAAACGTAAAATGATATAGTAGAAGTGCTACAATGGCCTACGGCCTCATTACAATCCATTTACAAATTTTGACATACTAAACCTCCAATTTTCACAAAATAGGCTATTATGGCAATACTTGAGTTTTAAAATATACTTGCGAACTTTAAGTTAATGGCCCTTGGCCTCATGTCGTACATACAAATAAGCATGAAAAAGTGTACTTAGGTACACATTACACATCAAGCAAGCCACCATAGCTCCTAAAATACTATACATCCATGGTATACTAAAATATAACATCAAAAGTAAAGCATGCTAAACATTTGCATGGCAATATACAAAAATGTTCTAAATTGCTCATAAGTCCCTAAGGATGATGAATATCCAAGGGTCTAGTCTCCTTACCTGTAAAATAACTTAAACAACTAGGGTGGGTAATCAAGTTACTCGTAGGAAAAAACATATGTATATACCCTAAAGTTTCAATATCATTGCAAGAGTAATATAGACGAATACAAGAGATTATTCCACTTAACGTCTATGTTCAAGGTATTATAAAGGATCATCTTAAACTATCACAATGATTCTATAATATCACAATATACACATCAATGTACTCAACGACATCAAATCACCAATAACCAAAATTGCAAGTCACAATTAAACATTGATTGTCAATTTGGAATTGAATGTGAAATCAATTAGTGGAAAACTTGGACATCAAGTCCTGGAGTAAACCATGACCTAAACGGTTATTCCGGGCATTAACCCGCTGGGAATACTGTAATAATACCCCTAACTTTCAAAAGAATATAATTGAAATTTAATTTTTATTTCTTGTGCATTTTAATGGAATATGTGGCTATGTGCTTATGTGGCTATGCATTTCTATTTACTTAATTGTTTATTTGAAATACGTGATTTAATTGTGTGTTTTATTTTGCGTGATAGTGTAAGGTTGTTTGATTCGTTGGATGTAATTATTTGTTATGAGATGATGTGGTCGTTTAAATGTAATTTTATTTGTATGATTAAGTATGTATTTTATTTTAATTTTAATTTAAAAATGGAGTTAGATTGGATAGTAGTAGTGGACCAAATAAATGGGTCACATGGACTACTTGAATGGACTTACATGGGTAAGGGTTACGACTCATGGGTAGTGGAGGTTATTATTATTATTTTTCTAATTAATAATGATAAGGAGGATTCGGTTATATATATATATATATAATCATATTATATTTATAAATGGTTACATATATATGTACATACGTAATAGTACATGATAGTATTAGTAATACTATATAGTAGTGTTATGATTTTTATACATACATTTATTTTATTTTAGATTTTCTTTTCTTTTCTCTTTTTCGCCTCATCTTAAAATTGGAATTAGGGTTTTATAAACCTATATATTTATTTTATTTTAGATTTTCTTTTCTTTTCTCTCCTATTCATGCCACCTTATAGAAGAGAGTGGTAGCAGAGAATTGAGAGAGAGAACTGTGAGGAGAGAAGGGAGAACTAAGGGGGAAAAGGAACAGTGTTTGCTTGCGGGTTAAAACTAGAGAGGTCGGAGGCTTGACGGTAATCTGAAGTTGCCGGAAAAACTAGGAAGAAGAAGTTAAGGTTTCAACTCGAAACCTAGAGGCAAGTTCTATTTCTTGCTCTTTCCCTTTGACCTGTGTTCTGTGCATGCCTAAATAATCTCCAGGATTAAATCGGACTTTAAAAAGTGATATTGTATACATGTTAATTTAGACTTTAAACCTTTTTATATGTTGATTAAGTGAAATTGATTTGTCGTTCAAATTGTTTCATATTATGTTTTAATTCTTGTAACGATGCGTACTGAGTTTATATGATTTTTCTGGATGAGTGGGACTTAGTCTGACGTCTAGGAACTTAAAATAAAGATTTCAGAGGGATTTTAAGATCGTCGGAGACGAAAACGACGACATAAAGTAGGGACAGAGCCGGCTCCCAAGGGGATGGAGCTGTCTCGTTATTTTTCTTTGCCCAGGGCTCT